CTTTGCTCCATGCTTCTTCCTTTGTTAATTGTTCTTTCTTCTTCAGTTCTTCCTCTAAAAAAACTTCAAATCTTCTTCCTCTTTAAAAACTCTTGCTTTGAAGTATCTTTATCCTTCTTCACCGCAAGAATTTCTTAAGTATGAAAACCAATAAACACACAATGAGAAAAAGAAGAAGAAGAAAGGGTTTAGAAGATGAACTTATCGAAATGATTTTCTAGAAATGTAAACTTATATATAACTTGATTCACCTGGAGTTGTATGGTTGGAAAATAAAATTTCTTTGAAAATTTTCAGAGAAGAGTTTTTGTCGTATGATGATTTTCATATTTTTTGTTTGTGTTTTGTGAAATGGAAAGAAAAGTTTTAGAAAATATTTATACATAAAAGGAGTTATCTGATATTTAGAGATCGTGGGTTAGTTGGTGATATTTTGATTTTTTATTTTATTTTTAATAAAACAGTTTATCAAACATAGTTGAAAAAAATAATAAATAAAAGATGAGGACTTTAGAGAAAAAGTAAAAATCAATTTTTGACATATAAAATATAGAACACAATCGTAAATTAAAATATTATGAAAACAAAAAAATATTTAAAGTAATATTTTAAATAAAATTATATCATCTTAATTTATGAATTTTTTTCTAATTACCCCGTTTTCTAAAAATATATATAATTTATTGATGCCATCACATTTTTATGATGTTAATTTTGTATCATTTAAAAAATCGATTTTATCAAAAAAAAATACATACATCAATTATCTAAATGATGTAATTATGTATTTTACATCAATTTCTTTTAAAGTGATACAATCTAGTAGAAATTGAATCAGTTTTAAATAATTGATGAAAATTAGTTAATATTAGCATCAGTAATGTAATTGATGTTAAATTATTTATATTTGCTTCACTTATTAAAAAGTAATTTAAAATAAAATCACTTAAATTTGTGATACAATTTAAGTGATACAATATAGTCATTTTTTTTGTAGTGTATTACGAGGGTCTAATTTATAAATAACAAAGTATTAAAAAGCTAGTTGGTTTAGGTGAAAGTAAGACTATGACATTTGTCTTATTCACTAAAGAAACGATACTTTAGCCTCTAAACCCGCTCAACAGCAAGTACATATTGTGCAACCAGACTCACAATTAGTATGAGATGATAAACTTAATTCTATAGTAAATATAGTTCTTACTTATTTGTTAGTACTTTGAATAAAGTGGTACACGAACAATAATTTTTTTTCCCTAAGGTTATGTATATGTAATACGTATGATTAAGATAATAGGAGTAATATATCTTTTGTATTGGGATGTACATATCTTTTTCTATTGCATGGGATATGCATATCTTATCTCATACTTGTATAGAAATGTGCACACGAGTTTTATTTTGCAACTAAATTTGACTGTGATGTTATATCGCCGTATAACTATGATTTGCATAAGTTAACGACTCAGAAATAGTCTATATGTAATAAATAATAAGCAATCTTAATTATACTCTTCGAGTTGGTAAATTGGTGCCTTGTTTTCTGCCGCTTGTCTCCAACTCTATCCAACCACTTGGTCTTGGTTGAGATAATGATACATCAAAAATTTTACGTTTTTAAAAATATACATTTTCGTTTGTTAAATCTAGAGTCTATGCATGTGATTAGAGAGCTGATTTGGGTCAAACGTACAGTAGAGTTTTGATATGTTCATTGCGTTGCGAATTTTAAGGTCATTTAAACGAAATCACAAAATCACAAAAACCTCTGTCAACAACCTCACTGTTTCAAACGAAATCACAAAAAAAGGAATCCGAGAAGATATAACTTGCTTACATGTTTTCAAGCATTTATCCGAGTAAACCGAAGAGTCACTATATGATTGTATCCATAACAAGGTTTACAAAAAAAAAAAAAAAAAAAAGATTGTATCCATAACAAGAAAATTAGTAGTAGACTTGGGGAAAAAATTAGACAATAACTTTGACTCGAATAACTTAAAGTTGCACACCTACCTCAAAAATTATATAGGTCAATCTCAAAGATATGAGATCACTATCGAGACGGAAAATATATATATATGAGACGACGACCATGTGCAATGCATTTGGATTTCTCTTTTGCTTACCTATCAATTTAAAAGTTTTCTTTAGACTTTAGTGATATTTGTTACTGTGATATCTCGGTTACTACAGTTTTATGCATTTATATTCAATACTACCATTTATGTAAATGTATTGTTGTGTGTTAATTCAAATGAGACGTCCGATGATTCATTCATGTGTAAGCAATCCCCTCAAAGAACACAATTGTGTTATCAACTTATCATCATTAATTATATAAATTAATATTTTTTATTTGTTTAAAAGGGCAAATAAGCATCAAAGCTGGAATAGCTCAGTTGGTTAGAGCGTGTGGCTGTTAACCACAAGGTCGGAGGTTCGACCCCTCCTTCTAGCGATTTTTTATTCTTTTATAGGCCAATGTGCAATCAACTTTTTTATAAAAATGTCAAACTTCATTCTCAATCTTAAACTTCGTTACAAGTGTCTTGAGTTGCATATCAAAAGCACAAAAAGATAAAAGTGTGCAAAACACACATTTTATTATACAATCTGCAAAGCATTATTATTACTCTTCCTTACACACATAAACATCATTTTACCACTTCGACAACAAACAAAACCAAAACACACAAACTATGTATACTCTTCTCTATATGATCAAATATCTTACATCATATTCTAAAATGTCTACCACCAACGCTTTTATTCATATCTTACATCTTTCTCTGAAGAGTAATCAAATCAAGAGTGGATCCATATTTCACATTCAAAGCCTGTGCACACCAACCGTGTCCATCATCAACTGTAGGCATCCTCACTTCAATCACAGGAACCACTGGACTCGATGATCCCGGCATCAACACAGCTGCGAAAACCCGCAAAGCATTTGACGCATCGATGTCCATGCAAACATTGATCGCTGGAACACCTTTAGGTGCCGGTGGAATCCCAACGATCTTGAAATACCCAAGAAGATGGTTCTCTTCGACGGTCTCTCCTTCTCCTTCGTATATGATGATCAGAGCTTCCTTCTGGTTATCCTGGACCGTCGTGAAGAAGAGGTCTTTCCTAGCTGGAACCATAGTGTTACGCGGAATCACAGGTATGAATCTGTTTCCGTTTGCTCTTATTCCAACTGCAAGAGGTGTTGCTTGTATGGTCAAGAGATCTAAGCTCCCAAACGGATCATGAATTCCTGAAGTCACCGCACCTTCTAAAGCAGCTCCTCTAACAGCAGCTTCTAACGGATTCACGCCTTTGTAAATCTCGTCTTTCTTGCATACATTCTTGAGAATGTTTCTCACTTTTGGGATGTAAGAACAGCCTCCAACCATTATCACATCGTCAATATCACCAACCTCGACTTTTGCATCTCGCAGGCACTGCACAACAAGTCTCTCACACTCTTCAAATACCTTCTGGTTCACATCCTCAAACTCCACTCTATCAAGAACCTTGGAAATCTTGTTACCATTTCCCAAATCGACTTCAATCTGGACATTGTCTTGATCAGATAGCCTGTGAATAGCGTCCTGTGTCGCTACACGGAGCAACCCCGAAGCTTCTGCTCCTGGTGGCGCGATATGGCGCATTGTGTTCTGCAGAATATCTTCTCCTCCAGTGGGGCTTCCTGCCAAGGCTTTTATCTGTGAAACACCACCAGCAGTTGCAGTAACCGCAACATCGCAGTAACCAGCACCTAGATTGAATATAAGCGCAAGCCTCTCGCTTCCGCTCCCCATGTTATCGTGCGTAGTCATCTGCTGCTGTTGAGCATACAGCAAGGCGACTGCAGTTGGTTCTGGCATCAAACGAAGAACATGAAGTCCGGCCATAGCGCAAGCTCGCTCAATCCGTGTAAGCTGGAACCTAGAGAACGAAACCGGAACCGTGAGCACTACATTCCTCACAGGCCGTTTCAACTGAGCTTCAGCCATCAGACGTAATTCCACAAGAAATATCGCTAAAACTTCCTCTGGAGTAGTGGATCTCCAAGCATTGTTCACCAAAGCCGCAATAAACGGTCTGACACCAATGTCAAGAGTTTGAACCAAGAAAGGAAGGTTCTTGCTGGCGTGAACCACAGGATCAGTGTCTACACGACCGATGAGGCGCTTCATGTTGAATACAGCGGCTCCGGTTAACATTTCCTGCTCGTGTGCGAGCTGGTTGCTAACTCCACCAGCAGGTACTTCGTCTTTGAAAGTGACGAATGACTTGATAAGTTTCTGGTTTCTTGTGTTCCTCAAGATGTGAACTTGAGAACCGTTCCAAACAGCTATACTGCACTGGGAAGTACCAATATCGATGCCAACAGCGATTTCGGGTAATGAAGGAGACGATGATGATTTCTCCTCTCCAGTGTTTTCACTGTCTGATGCTACTGTGTATGCTTGTTCTGCCATTTCCTGCCAAAAAAAAAAATCAGAGTCAAGACTCAAAGTCTAACATAGACAATACTATATTTGACATTTCATCAAACACAATCAAAGATTTGTCCTTGTGAACTAATGATTAGTGGTTTATTTATTTCCTTCCATTTCATCACTTAACAATTAACATTCAAACACGAACCAAAGTACTAATTCTAACACAAACTAAAACTAATTGTCAAGTGTTAGTAGTGGGATTAACTCTACTACGATTCCGAAATTAAGAAACAAACTTGAATCAAACAAAAAGCTAAACACAATTAATCGTAATTTCCATAACTATAAGCACATCATAAAACGTAATGAAAAAAAAAAAACCGTAAGAACAAAGAAAGTGTTAATGCAAAAAGAGGACTCGGAAACAACAAACCTGAGCAAAGGAGAGAACTTTCACAAAAAGGGTTTGTTTGTAGCTGTTGTGGGATTTAGAAGAAATAGGATTCGTGGGTCGAGAAAAGAAAAGACAAGGGAGTGACAAGAGAGGTGGGAGAGTTTAGAAGGTGCGAGAGAGTAATATGTGATTGCTCGTCTTCTAGAGTCTGCTAGAGAAACCTCGGTGCTTTTTAGAAAACAGAGGAGGGAGTGATGATTCTTTTGCCGACCCAACCAAAAATATAAAACTAAAACAGTATAAATCTACTCTTGTTTTAAAAAAGAAAAAACAAATGGGCCTATTTCTAATAAACTAAGTGGGTCGATTTAAGAGGACGTAGATGGGTCTGTATCAGATATCAGCCCAACTATGGATCGTAGATTATGATAATTGTTTCAATTAGTTTTGTTAATGAAATTAGTAAATCAACCAATAGTGTGTATCAGATATCAGGCTTATCAGAGGCCAATATCTATCTTAACATTTTTAAATTACACTTTGTACTAAAATCAATTTAGGATTATAACCTTTTAGTTTGCAATATTTACATAATCAAACCCTTGCCATTTAAACAAATAACAAAACTTAAAATAAATTTTGTAATTAAATCACAACCAAATCGCAAAATTGGAAACAAATATTTATTACATCAAAAAATTTCCTAAAATCTCTCTATAATAAATCGAATCTCTCTCTAATATATTTATATAATCTTATTTGTTTTTAACTTATATTATTACATAAAAAAATATTTATAATAAAAATATAAATTTTCTTCCACACAATTTACAATTTAAATTTTTGAAAATGAATGTATAGAAGTCAATCGATAAAGGAAAAAATATATGTACAACGTCTACATAAGGTAGAAAAATTTAGATAATAGTTCAAAACCATTACAAATATGACTAATATGCTTCCAACTACAAACTCCAAATTAAAAATTATCCAGTTTCATTCGGTTCTTTATTTATGAAAAAATAAATCTTTTAAAATAATACTTTAAAAAAGTTACAAAATATTATAAATTTTATTTTTTAAAAAATTTTAAAAGCTTCAAATATTATAATATTGAATTAAGCTTTATATAATATAATAATTGAAATATTAAAAATATAAAAAAACTCTACAAAAAAGTTAAAGTATTATTAATATTTTAACTCTAAAAAATAATAATAATATTGTACATAAATATGATTGAACGACTTTGAGTTTACATAAATATGATTATGTTTTTCAGACGGGTTTGTCTATATTTAAAATCTTTACGGGTTATGGTAAAATATATATTTTTTTATTTATAACAAATTTGTCTTGCGGTGTACCCTAGGTTCACTACATATATATATGAATCTACTTATAATAAAAATTTATAAAATTTTATAAAATTATAATGATATGAACACGTATAAACTAGACTATATAAACCAACTACGAAAATAACAAATTAAACAAATATATTAAATTATGGACCCGTGGTGTAACACGGGGTAAATCCTAGTTGTTGAACAAAAAAAAAAACAATAGTGTGTGACTGTGTTCAATAACTACTTAATTAGATGGTTACATCTAGTGGGCAATGGAGAAGAAGTGTTACGTCAAAATCATGTTTTGTTGTTGTTGTTGTAACAGTTAGATAAATACAAATTATTGAAAACAAAATACACTACATTTGGTAACAATAAGCCACTTTCCTAAATTTTTGAATTTTTTTTTTATCTGCAAAAAATTGGCATCTACTTAACTCATCATATAAATTAAAATCGACATATGAATTTTTTGTACTTGCAAGAAACGTATAAAAAATATAATGATTTGGAATATATATATATATATATGTCATTCTTCTCTGGCTTCAATCGTTTGTTTTAAATAATTGTATGATAATTAATCAGATGAATAATAGGAACATAAAAAAAAAAAAAAATTAGAATCATGCATTGTTGGAATCTTTCACAATCGATGATGAAATAATATTTTAAATTATATGTCCAATAACCAATAACGCAACAAATTGGTGACATCTCTTTGATGAGGAAAGTGGTGATGTTAGGGATAGGTCCACACAGACAGCAACTACATTGCAATTATTATTATAAATACAGATTTCTACTAGCTAGTGTTTATAAATCAAACATTATATCACCAGTAAATAATGTCATATTTCGTATGAAAATTCAATTCAGTAGATTCATCATGCATGGCTTAATTTGTGTGTGTGTGTGTGTCTGGCCTTTATGTGTTTCTAATACCTACCGATCGACACATCACACATGATATTCTACGTTTGTAATAATCTCCAACCATTTTGGTGTTAATTAGCATGTGCAACACGTACAACGAATTCGAAAATTTATGTAATTCTAGCTAAATCAACGCGTCGGCCCCGCGCCAAGATATCTCTTTACTTTTTATGTCTGAAAATTAATAAAAACACGTGTTTTTGGTGTGCAGAAACTTGGGCTAAATGGCATCTAATTTGAAGACAATGGGCCGATGCTGTTAAGGAACCGGTAGAAAAAAGCTATAAAACATAATGATGATTGTACATTTTCGGATATGAAACTTCATCCGACATTGAGAGTAATTACAAAGGTACTAACTATAGGTGTGTAACGCGTATAGCCTAACGTTTATATTGTGCTCACACTGTAACAATGAAATCTTATGTACAATAGTAAAAGTTAACTGAACACCATTTACAAAGACTTTGTTTATAAAACATTTTAACAAAGACTTAAACGCGTATGGTTCGGAAACTCTTTGGAATTTAATAAGTGTTTTTTTTGGTAGATTGTTTAATTAATCAATAAGATAGAAAGCGATCATTGCAACACAAATCAGGATAGAATCATATGATTCGATTAAACATATCAAATATAATATAGTGTAAGAAATTGTATAACAAGATAAAATAGAAGAAGAAAAGGATTTGAACCATGAGTCAGCAGTCAGTATCCATATGATTTAAATTAAACAAAAAAACAAATAGAGAAAAAAAAAAAAAAAAGACTTTGGAGTTCCTATAAATACTAGTAGTATTAAACATCTCCATTTCCTTCACGCCTCTTTGTTGTTGTTTGTTTGATATTTTCTTCCAATTTCTCAATTATTCCAAATGTTATTTTCTTTTACGTCTTTACTCTCTTGCAATGGATTTCTCTCCCATCAACTGCCTCATTTTCGGTATTAGCTAATACCCTTTTTTTAATAAGTAGTAATATCAACATTTTGTAAACTGTATTTTGATAAAGTTTGTTCTCTAATTTGTTTTTTTTTTTTTTGTGGTAATTTGGTTTCTAATTGTGTGATCATTAGATTTGGATGACACATTATACCCTCTGAAAACTGGATTAGCGCCAGCGGTCAAAAAAAACATCGACGGTAACTAAACTATAACAATTTAATTAGAACCCAATGATTTGTTCTTATAAAACATATATTTAGTTAATTAAATTGATAATATGGGGAGGGGCAGATTTTCTAGTGGAGAAATTTGGATTCCCAGAAAGTAAAGCTTCAAGTTTAAGAGTTGAGCTCTTCAAGACTTATGGGAGTACTCTTGCTGGTCTCAGGGTAATTAATCTCTTTTCTCCATTTTTATGTTTTCTCTAAACTATTACTTCATTATACATCTTCTAATTTATTTAATTCTTTATATTCTTACTAATGATGTAGGCGTTAGGCCACGATGTTCATCCTGATGAATACCACAGGTAATATAACTAGTCATCATCATCATCAATTCATCATCATCATCTTAAACAACTACTACTATGAAATATTTTGATCTCAGCGAAACATTTGTTTAATTTCGTGCAAAATATGTTTTGTAGTTTCGTACACGGAAGATTACCGTATGGCTCGATCGAACCAAACAACAAGCTACGTAACCTTCTTAACAAAATCAAACAGAGGAAAATTGTAAGTTTAATTTAATTAAAATCTTTAGTTATGTATCATGAATTTTTATTAAATATTGTTTTGCCAAAATGAATAAAATCAATGTTCATTCTTTGTTTTTTATATATATTAATGTTCTTGGTTGTAGATATTTACCAATTCCGACAGGAACCATGCGGTGACGGTGTTAAAGAAACTGGGGTTAGAAGATTGCTTCGAAGAGATGATCTGCTTCGAGACGATGAATCCGAATTTATTCGGATCAACGACAACAACACGACCCGATGAGCATCCTGTCGTTCTCAAACCATCCTTGGCCGCTATGGACATTTGCATCCGTGTAGCTAACGTTGACCCTCGCCGAACGGTAATAATTTATTCTTATGTAAGACTTTGCTAAAAAAGCCATAGATAGCTTTACACGTATCATTTGTTTAATCTGTTTTTATCTTATATATTAACATAGGTGTTTTTGGATGATAATATCCACAATATTACCGCCGGTAAATCTGTCGGCCTTCGCACAATCTTGGTAACTTTTTTTTTTTTTTTAATTTTTATTCCGTTTACATTTTACTAATGACATTTTGTATGTGAGAATGCAATTTTATAAAATTTGGTTTTTTTTTAAGGTGGGGAGAGCAGAAAAGACTAACGAAGCTGACTATGCGGTAGAGACGGTGACTGAGATAGCTACGGAGGTGCCGGAGATATGGACGACGGCAACGGCTACGGGAGGTGAGAGAATCAGACGGAGCAAGAGTGAGCTGGAGGGTATGGTATCAATCACAGCCGTCGGTGCGTGACGTGATGGAGTGAGAGAATGATGTGGCCGTTGGATCCTTTTTAACGTTTAGTAGTTTGGGTTTGTACAGATTGGAGCGTTAAAAAGATGTTTGTTGATAATGCGCATTGTGAATAGAATAATAATAATTGTGGTGGTGGAGAATATCCATCCCATGTGGACACCAATTGTGAATAAATCAATCAAAATATTATCTCATGTATGATGACAATGATTTCAATATGTTTACATTTTTAAGTCCTTTTTATATGGTATCATTTTATTCTATATGCTTTAAAATTTACAAAGTAAAACATAAGAAGTTTTTTTGTGTGTTACAAAAACATTATATTATTATTATAAATACAAGTTTTGTCCATTCTAATTTTTATTAAATAATAATTCATATTGTTATTTTCTAAAACATAGCACAGCATTTTTATTTGGTTAATATCCAACATTGTCCGCATCACCATACCAAACACAATGTTGGGTTGAAATGCTATATGATTTGTTTCATGAAGGTGAAGAGAAACTCTAAGGATAAAAGAATGCTCATAAATTGTTTTCTTGATTACTTTCTAAGTTTTTAGTTATATTTATATAAGATAATGTAATTAAAAATTAGTTAACATATATTGGGATTTGCAAAAATATCATTTTTCTAATCATTTTACAAAAATATCATTTCTTGTTGTCCATTTTCAATAATACATTTCTTATACAAAATGAGTAAATTCTAAACCCAAACCTCTAAATACTAAACTCTATTTTTAAAAGTATATCTTAAATGTAAAATATAGAATTCAAACCTAAAAACAAATTCTAAAAATTAATTTAGCATATGGTAATTATGTAAAAGAGGGTAAAAATAAAAATGACAATTGCAAAATGTATCAAGATAAAAGGCATTAGTCAAAAAAATTCAATATATAATAAAATTATTTCATGATTACAGTGCGATATGCCATTTAAAATAACTTTTAAAAGCATGCGAAATACCTTTTAAAATACAAATATTATCAACAAAACTTTTTCTTATTTCACTTATTTACATGGTTCATATTATCAACAAAAATTAATATTATTGTTTTTATTAGGTAACGTTGTTCTTAACCGATTTTGAAGCTCACACATTCTAACTTCTAATTCAAGTTAACTGCTTTATTCTATTATAATAAATTAAATTTCCATTTTATGCACTATATCTTAACAGATTAGAATTACAATTTTCATATTAACATGTAAACCATATCATATATATATATATATATATATATATATATATATTTGTCCAAAAAACCCATCTCATATATTATTTAGTAGTTTAAAAAAAAATTAACGTCGTTTTTAAAAATGACCTATGTTTAGGCCCATTTAAGGAACACGACGCAAATTTGAAAATATCGTTTCTTTGTATAATTGAAGAGCCACCATGAATGAAATGACATCGACGGAGGAGGCTGCACCGGAAATGGTTACAGCCACGGAAACGGAAACCGAATTGATAGAGAAGTCGAGTGAAGTGTATGATGAAGAAGAGGACGAGAAAATACACTCTCAGTCTCAGAAGAAGCCTGTAGTAGCAGTTCTTGAAGCCAAATCTCTTCCCGACATCATCAGTGCTTACCTCAAGTATCTTTACTTAGTTCCATCTTAAGACTTCAATCTTTTTTTTTCTGAAGCTCTTGTTAGTAATAATCATGTTGTTACTGGTGTGTTTTTTTTTACGGTGGTCAAAGTAATTAAAGTTCGTTTTGTAAGGCCATTGACTCATTTTGCACGAGTTGACTTTTCTCTAAATGCTTTGGAAATTTTTCACAGTTATCCCGACGCTGCAGAAGAGGATCTGAAAAAATGGGAAACATCATATCAGAAGCTGTCTACTGCACACAAGGTACTCTTTGCTCTGTGATAGATAGTTGTAAAGAGATCACCAAATGATTTCATTTTCATGTTAAGTTTTTTTTTTTTTTCCTTGTGCAGGCATTGTTACCTCATTACCCTAAGAAGTTTCAGAGTTTAAGAAGGTGTAACTCCATTATCAGTTAATATTTCACTATCATCTTGTAGAGTTAGATAAAGCATCATCACAGGCTCGCTTGTGCTTGTCACAGATATCTTAAGTCTTGTTTGAAATATTAGCAAGTTGTTGGACTTTTTTCTTGCAGGTGCGTATCGATGAATTCACATTTCATAACTAATATGCTTCAGGTTAGTTACTGACATTTCTACTTCAGGTTAGTTAACCCATGTTATGTAATGATGTATAATTTATAATTTACTTGGCAGGCTTTTGAGCCTCCTCTAGACTTAAGCAAATACATGAGTCAGCGGAAAACAAGAGTATTGTCTATAGAGGTCAGATCAAGACATGGAACGTTTTATTCTTTATTTCGTTTACGAAATTTAATGTCTTTTTATCAACGCAGGAGCTTCAAAGGATGGAAGGTTATGATCATTCTCTCAAGAATTACTCTGCAGACACAAGAATCAATAATAAGACATGTGAATTTTATGGAGGCCAGTTCAGTGTAATTAATGCCAACTCATATATATATGCTTTTATACAGGAAACGTTTTATATAGTGCTTAGAATTATATAAGACTTTTGGTGGATCATATGAAAATTTTAGTAGTATCGTAGATCGTGAAAGCGTTCTACTGTGAAGCATAGGTTTGCGGTGTATATTTCTAATTATAAATTTATAATTTTCCTCTTTCCTTTCTTAGGTGTCATTATCATCTCATGATTTTCTGGATTCGTCGTTACAGACACATGTGCCTCTTGTTGATGTAGATAAGGTATGCTTTTTCACTTTAATATGGCTAATGAATGATGATGATATTCATTTCTTCATCCTAGGTAGCCATAATCTAGTAGAGGTTTAGTAGTGTGAGACAAAAGATAGTAAGGCGACCTGTTAGAATCTATTTCTTACTCTTTGATGGTTCCATTAGGCAGTTTGGAAATTTATGGAGGTCGATTTCCTCGTAAATAGAATCTTCTTGTATCTATGCATATGAACATGATAGAGGTGACACAGCATGGCAATACAACTTTTTATGTATATGTTTGTTGTATGTACTGATCACATATCTACTACTTACGAAATGTGAATGGTTTTGTTGTATTCTGACACAGGTTCGTTGGGTGATGAGAAATATAGTTCGAGACTGGGGAGCAGAGGTAACCATATATTTGTTTGTCATTTTCTTCTGACAATGATGTTGTACTCACTCTCTTTCTTGAAATTAATATCACAACTTTAGCTGTTAGTGTATATTCTCTGTATTTACAGGGTCAGACCACACGAGATGAATGCTACAAGCCTATCCTTGAAGAGCTTGATTCCTTGTTTCCTGATCGTCAGAAAGAGAGGTACACCGCGTTACTGTTAATTGTTCCTGACTTTTGAGTCTGCTCTGACCTCTCTCATCATGGAAAAAGTACAATTTTTAGAAATGTAGAAACTTTTGACTAAAGAGAGACAGACTAATAGGAAAATGGTATTTGTTTTGGCTATTGAGATTAACAAGCATGATTAAGCCTTTTAGTACCTGCTAGATTCACTCTGCTTACAAAGTATATATATATGATTTGTGATTTGCAGCACTCCTCCTGCCTGTTTAGTCCCTGGTGCTGGACTTGGACGTCTTGCCCTTGAAATTTCCCGTCTAGGCATGCAGTAAAGAATCAAAAGTTTTATTCTTTTAATCTTGTAGCTTTGATGACAATGAGGAATAACAAGTCTTGTACATTGGAACAGGTTTCAGAAGCGTAGGAAATGAGATTTCATATTACATGATGATATGCTCAAATTTTATTCTTAATTAGTAAGAGTTTCTTGCTTTCTTGAATATTTTTTCTTAACCAAGGTTTTAGTTCTTGATTTAGTGTCTTCTGTGAGTTAGTTTCTTCATTACGGTCCTGTTTTTTTTGAGTATTGCTCTGCTTGTTGTTTGTTTTCTCATCAGTACACAAGTGCTTGATGAGTGGACAGTCTACCCCTGGATATACACCAACTGCAATTCTCTCTCGGAAAATGATCAACTACGTCCTGTTTCTATTCCTGATATTCACCCTGCAAGGTATGTCTTATCGAACCGCAGAGAGAACTGGCCAATGGTATGAAAAGAATTTATCTTTTTTAATCTTTCTGTAAAACATTAGAGAACTCAATCAAAAGAGTTTATGTTAACTCAAACATAAGAGAACTCAATATGTATTGGTAAGTGTTTATTATCTAACTTTACTGAAGGAGTTTATGTAAACTTATTATGTGAGCAGTGCAGGAGTAACAGAAGGTTTCTCTATATGTTGTGGTGATTTTCTTGAAGTATTATTCAATGAATCAAGTCATGCAGGTATCGAAACAGTGACTAGTTTGATTTTTGATTAAGCCAATATGGGATCCACCAATATGCTATATTGTTCATTCCAAACGCCACCCACACTTGTAATGTAACCAGTATCACTGAATTTTCAGGGATGTGGGATGCAGTTGTGACTTGTTTTTTCATCGATACGACTCGTAATATCATCGAGTACATCGAAACGATATCCAAAGTCGTAAAAGATGGAGGAGTAATTTCTTCTTTACCCCTTTTTTCCAAGGCATTTGATCTTTCATTGCTCCTGACTGTCTATATTGAAATTTCCATCAGGTTTGGATCAATTTAGGACCTCTGTGTTATCACTTTGCGGACATACCTGGCCTAGAAAATGTAATAAGCTTTGGACTTGTCCCACAATCTCGTTATGAATTTGTGACATCATGATGTAAGATAATATTTTTGTTAATACTTAAGGAAATGTCGATCGAACTAAGTTTGGAGGATGTAAAGAGAGTTGCTTCGCATTATGGGTTTGAGATTGAGGTAATGACATTAATTTTGTCAAGAATAGAACACCTCATGTCCTTCTTCCTCCACACTCAGTGCTTGTCCTAACATTTGCAGAAAGAAAGAACAATTGATACAACGTACTGTGCAAATCCCCGGTCTATGCAGAAGGTAAGGTTTTTCATGTCCCTCTGGATTTGATTTATCTCTAATCTCTAAGCTCAAACTAATTATTGAAAATCAAAAGGTTGATTTATTTGTGATACTCTGTGTGTTGCAGAACCGCTACTATTCTGTCTTCTGGACAATGAGGAAGAAGTGTGCTACATAATAAAACTTATCCAAACATCCCTAAAGAACATTCCATTGTGGAGCAGTTGTTTTGTGTTGCACTTTGATATGTTTATTACGATCCAATCTCAAAAGTCAAAACACGAACCATTTCTTGTGTTGTTGTAAACTAAATAAACTGTGTTCTCGGTTGATGAACACTTGTACTCCGACTTTTTCGTTATCCTTAGGCCACTCATAAGAGTCACAAGTCACTACTCACTAGAGCACCAAGGGACAGTGTTAAGTTTTGACTTATTTTTACTTAAAAGTTAAACGAACCCTATGACATCTCCCCTACACTGCACACTTGTAAGGCTTAGTACTTGTGAATGTTTGTGTCGGGAAACACTCACCACAGTATTAGAAAACAGAGCATAAAACAGAGAATTTTGAGTTCAGGTTGTATTGTGATGAGACCCTACATCTTTGCTAAATATAATGTCTAAAAAGCAATCCACAGTTTAACATTTGTCTTAATACAAAAAATGGGCTAAGCTAAGGCCCATTAAGGAACATCATGAGGCATAATTAAAAAGAAACCGTTTCCTCGTATAAGGCGAAGACGCGGCGACGAAATTCCAAAACAAAAAGAGCCAGCCACCATGTCGGAGCCGGAGACGGAACCGGCACCGGAAATAGTGACAGATATGGCCACGGAAACGGAGACGCCGAGGGAAGTGCCTGATGAAGAGGAGGAGAAAATACGCCGTCTGAAGAAGCTTGAAGAAGCTCTCGAAGCCAAATCTCTTCGTCGCATTATCAGTGCTTATCTCAAGTATATAGATTTTTTTTTTTTTACCTCAGCCTTATTCGGATTTTATACCGTTTCATACGTATTACCTGAAATGTCAATATATTTGAGGAGAATTGTCTGATTGATTGGAATTTCAAATCACAATTTCGGATTGGTACTGTGTTCTTCTTTTTAGGGTTTAGTAGTGGTGCTAAGTTATGGGAACTTGTTTTTGGCTGGATGTTCATGCTTATGACTCGAGAATACTTTGATTTCTAGGAATACTTTGATTTTTTGTTTTTTTTTTTTTGTTTTTTTATAGTGTAAGCTTCGCATTCAAGGTCATTACTTTTGGTTTTCTTACATTGTTTGTATTTGTAATCCGAGATTTTCTGATCAAATTTTGCATTTTTCATGGTTCATTTGAAGCCTCCTGTAGAAGTGTTTCGTAGGGCTGTCTAGTAATTTATGTTTAAAGGTTCTGCATCATTGACCTTTCCTTGTCTTTTGGAAATGTTTACAGTTATCCCGAGGCTTCAGAAGAGGATTTGAAAAGATGGGAAAGATCATATCGGAAGCTGTCTCCTGCACACAAGGTAGTTTCTGTTTCCTGGTTTCTAGCCTTGAGATATCTGATATGATTAGTAGAGAGAATAGTAGCATGTTCTACTAAAAATGGCTGTAAATGTTTTTTCCCATAGTTGCGTCTAGAGAAAAATGAAAGTTCTTGTTTCTGTTGTGTTTGTTATTTGTTATCTGTTGTGTTACCAGTTGATATTATGTTAATGATTTATTTCTATAGCATGATTTAGAATTTGAAATGCTTAACGAAGCATAGCGGTTAAGAGATCACCAAATGATTTAAAGTCAAAGTTGATATTTTTGTCGAATATTCTTTGTGTGCTTATGATTATAATAGAACTAACGAATTTCAGTGATGCCTTTTTCCTTTTCCAGGCATTGGTACCCCATTTCCCTATGAAGTTTCAGAGATTAAGAAGGTGAAATCTAGAACCAGTACATGTTTCAGTATAATCTTGTGTCACAGGCTCACTTGGATGATATTACAGAATTTTTTTTTTTTCTTTTTCTGTTATAGTTGCTTCAAAATTTTGCATATGATTAGTTGCTTCTTTGTTATTACTTTGGATTATGGAAGATTACTGATGCTGCTAAACGTTTGAATTAACTTTTGAAGTTAAATATAATATCTTGTCACAATAATGAATTGAGGTTAGGGACAGTCTAAACTTGTAACAAGAAAGTGTTTGGTGTTCGCATTATTGCATTTTCCTACTAAATATCTGACCTCTCAGAGATGATTTGAGTAAAGTAACATTTCATATTTGTCAACTCTGTCTTATGTATATTTCCTACTTTCTGATAGTTGGACTAGTTAAGTATTATTTTCCTAAATCTTGTTAGATTGATTTCTTGTTCAAGTGTTATTTTTATGATATACTTTTTTCTCATGCTTGCACACTAAACTCACTACTACGTCCGATTTAGTGTGAATTATTTGTATCCTGTCTGTGTTTGTTCCATATATCATAAGCGTAATGTTGTTTGAAATGTTAGTAAGTTGTTGAACTTTGTTGTTGCAGGTGTATATCGGCGAATTCATTTTTCATATTTAATATGCTTCAGGTCAGTTGCAGACTTTCTTCTTCTAATTTCCTTGGTGTTTCAATTACTTAATGCTACTCTTTTGGTTATATGATTTGTAATCTTTAATTGGAAATGCGCTAGAATATCTACAATTTATTACACATGTAATAATGTAATTCATAATTACTTGGCAGGCTTTTGATCCCCCTATAGACTTGAGTCAGGAACTTGATGGTTATGAAGGCTCAAATTCTGAATGTGCTCCACATGAGAAATACACTCTAGATGAAAGGCACGACTCTTCTTGTCAGCCGGCCTTGACCAATAGTTGTACATATCAGGAAGAAAGCAAACACATTCATGTACCAAAAGCAGGAGTGTCTGTCGAGGTCAGATCAAGTCAGTGGAACTATATATTTTTCATTTAGAATCTTTAATTTATTTGTAGATATGCAGGAGCTTCAAAGGAAGGAAGCTCATGATCATTCTCCCAAGGATCAGTCTGAAAATGATGGAGGCCAGTTGAATCATGACCATGGCAGTGTAATGCGAACACATACTTATACCTCTGTTCCTTTCAGAAAACGTGTTGACGATTCAGACAGCGTTCTACTGTCAAGCATAGGCTTTGTTGTGTTATTTTTGGATCATAGTTTATGTCTATAAAGTTGTCATAATTCATCCCTTTTTGTTTTTTCTATCTAATTCTTATGTTCTTCTATTCTTTCTTAGGAATTATGTGCATACCATGATTGGTTGGATTCATCAATACAGACACATGTTCCTCTAGTTGATGTAGATAAGGTATGGTTCTCACATTTACTATAGCTGATGATATTTATTTTTCTCATTCCTAGATAGTTCATAATTATATAAGTGCTCTGATAGTGTGAGACAATTCGTAAGGCATGCTGTTAAAAATCTATTCTCAATCTCTATTAGTCTATTAGGCAGTACAATTGAATATGCTTGTTGTGGTATTTCTCGCCAATATACACTTTATTTTCATGATTTTGTTGTATTCTAACACAGGTTCGTTGTATAATAAGGAATATAGTCCGAGACTGGGCAGCAGAGGTGACCATACTTTTGTTTGTCATTTTTATCTGACAATGACGTACTCAGATTCAATCTTTAATTTTATATTAAGTTTTGTGGTATATACTTTTTACTTACAGGGTCAGAGAGAACGAGATGAATGTTACAAGCCTATCCTTGAAGAGCTTGATTTGTTGTTTCCTGATCGTCAGAAGGAGAGGTACACCATGTTACAGCTAATTGTTCCTGAGTTTCGGGTCTCTGACCTCTTATCAATGCATTCTGAGTTTGTGGAAAAAAGTATTTTTTTGTCTTTTTTCAACATCCAACTCTGGTGGTCTGTTGTTGATCCACGAAGTTCCATTATAGAGACTTGACTAACGAGAGACAGGCCAATTGATTAATTTGATTAAGCACTTTTAGTACCTGCCACGTTCACTCTGCTTACAAAGTTAATTGTATGATTTGCAGCACCCCTCCTGCCTGTTTAGTCCCTGGTGCTGGACTTGGTCGTCTGGCCCTTGAAATTTCTTGTCTAGGTAGGCAATGCAGAAGTAATTTTTTTTGGTAGGTAATGATGATAGGAATATAACAATTCTGTACACTGGGACAGGTTTCATAAGCCAAGGAAATGAATTTTCATACTACATGATGATATGCTCAAGTTTTATTCTGAATTAGTAAGAGTTTCTTACTCTTTTAAAATCAACATTATCTTTTTATATTCCTTATATTTGACTTGTCTGTTTCAAATAGCGTCTCTTTGCCCCTTTTCTACATTGAGATTTATGGTCATCCATGTTGTTTAAGAAGATAGAAATCAGATTATCCCCTATTCAGTAATTCAAATCTTTTTATTTTTCATATCAGCCAACCTTTAAATTTTCAAACTGTTTATCTAAATTGCTCTTGAAGAGTCTACAATTTAGTTTCTTCTGTAATGTGTTTCTAAATTTAGTTAAGATAGCTTCCTTCTTTTGGTCCAGGTAAGAGTTTTGCTCAGCTTGTTTTCTTTTCTTTTTTCTATCAGTACGCAAGTCCCTGGTGAGTGGACAATATACCCCTGGATTCACAGCAACTGCAATTCGCTCTCGGACAATGATCAACTACGTCCTATTGCTATTCCTGATATTCATCCTGCAAGGTAGGCTTTATCGAACCGCTGAGAACTGGTCTATGGTTTTGGGAATGTGTTGGTAGTTTTAGGTGTAAAGACTTATCTGGTTTCCTTGTAAATTACAATGGAACTCAATCCAAAGGGATTAAGCAACTTTTATTGGTGATTTCATGTAGCTATATTCATTTGTGTCACTTTACAAAAAAGGTTTATGTAAAACTTTTGTGAGCAGTGCTGGAATAACGGAAGGTTTCTCTATGTGTGGTGGTGATTTTGTTGAAGTATACAATGAATCAACTCATGCAGGTAAGAACGGTGGCTACTTGCTTGTGGTTTTAAGCCAATACACCCATTTAATTGTCACCGTTGATACTGAATTTCAGGAATGTGGGATGCAGTTGTTACTTGCTTTTTTATCGACACGGCTCATAACATCATCGAGTACATTGAAACCATATCCAAGATCTTAAAAGACGGAGGCGTAATTTCCCTGTCACACTCTTTCTTTTCACCATTGATCTTTTCTTTTTTGCTCCTGACATATCTACAATAATTTTCCCTCAGGTTTGGATAAATTTAGGACCACTGTTGTATCATTTTGCAGACACATATGGCCACGAAAATGTAAGCATTGGACTTGTCTCACGATTCTTGCCATAACTGTGATATCACAATATATTTATTGTTTCTCCTTAGGAAATGTCAATCGAGCTAAGTTTGGAGGATGTAAAGAGGGTTGCTTCACATTATGGATTCGTGATTGAGGTAATCTACACTATGAAAATGACATGTACCAATAATAAAGCATTTCATGTTCTTCCACACTCAGTGTCTGTCCCAACATTTGCAGAAAGAAAGAACAATCGAAACAACTTACACTACAAATCCCCGAGCTATGATGCAGGTCAGATTTCTCATGTCCCTTTGGATTTGATTATTTAAACTCAGATTCCATCATCTGTTTCAATATTTGGGTGGTTAATTTGGGATCGAAAGGTGGATTAGTCTGTGATGTTGTGTTTCTATCTGTGCTGCAGAACCGATACTATACTGCCTTCTGGACAATGAGGAAGAAATGTGCAATATTAGCAACAACTTAACCCAATTTATTCTGGACATTTTTTTCCATCTTGATTTCTTTTGTTTTACTTTGATGAATTAATGGTACAATCTAAACTAATAGACTTATGTTATCGATTGATGAATAAAAAACCTTTGTACTCAACTTCGAGTTATCCATTTGCCAGCCTTTAGACTTCACTTATATGATCTTTGTCTTCAACATAATTTGGAGGTTCAGATATTGCAATGGCAGGGACTAGCTTAACAAAACAGAATAATTAAAGGCATTCACTTCTGAGTTCTGAGGCTTAGTATATACGAATGTCTGTTTCAAAAACGCTCACCAATGTTTCTCTCAAATTTTCATCTCGTGTATTAGAAAACAAAATAAATTTTGGTATAGACTAGGTGATTACATTACATAATAAGGGTAGGAACCTGAATATTGTTATATATAATCATAAACATTACAACATATGATATACCCTCTCTCTTTAAAAAATAACCGGTCTCTTTCTTAAACCGGCCTTTAGTCATCTGAAAAAAATCGGTTTAAATTAGGTTATTTCGTTTTCTTATTCACCTGAAAAATCGGCGACTTTCTTAAACCTAACTCTTTCTCAATGCCCTAGTATAAATAGGAACCTGAATTACGATACAAGATCATAACGCATACCCTCTCTTTTTGGTTTTCGTTCCTTGCGTACAAAGCCAACATTTTACTCTATTCCTTTCAGGTTTTATTCTGTTTGTGTTCTATTTTCTTCAAGAGATTCGATCACAATGGGAAAACATGAAGATCATATTGCTTCAGTGATGAGAAATATACCGGAGGAGATGATGAGAGAAGTTGTCGGAGAGAGGGTAAAGACCATGAACGTGAACCATACGGAATCACAAGCTGTTGAACCTGCGGCTTACCTTTACTCATGGCTGAGTAAATTCTGGGAGGTTCAAGCTGAGATGGCAGTGGCCAACAAAGAAAATGAAGAGGCGAGGATTTTAGGGGATGGGGTACCAAAGAAGACGAGAAGTCTAGGTGACCGATCATCTTCTTGTAGCACAGTGACAACGCCATGGATGCGTGAGATCGAAAACCAAAGATCAACTACTTCCATGAAACCAGTACTACCAAACCCTAATCTGCCTTCTTGCGTTAGAAGTCGGTCCAAGGATAAACGTCCGGTTGACGTGGAGGAGACAAGTCGCAGGAAACTTAGAGTTTTTCGTAGTTTAGAGGTGGAACCCGTACTACAAAACCCTAATATGGATTCAGAGTCTTCTCGCTTTAGGGGTCGGTGCAATGGAAAACGTCCCATTGACGTGGAAGAGAGAAGTCTTGGTGACGGATCGTCTTCTTCTATTAGGATGAGAAGAAGACCATGGATGCGTGTGACCGAACAACAAAATCCAACTACTTCCGTGGAACCAGTAGTACGAAACCCTAATCAGGATTCAGAGTCTTCTCGCGTTAGAGGTCGGTCCAAGAATAAACGTCCCATTTACGTGGAAAAGAGAAGCCGCAAGAAACGTAAAGTAGTTCGTGCTTTAGAGGTTGAACCGATTCAAATGACTCCACCGGAGTGGCTTTTCAACGTGATGAGGAGAGAAGAGAACGGCTACGATCCCAAGCTCATCTCAACTAGGAAACTGTTTCAGACTGATATCAACAAAGATCAAGCACGCCTCTCAGTCCCTTTTAGACAAGTGAAAACTCCAGACTTTTTGACAGAGCAGGAGACAATATTCATACATGAATATGCGATGAAGACTCGTGTAGAAGGTGTGAGTGTGGATTTGGTGGATCCTAACATGAAGAAGCATGCCCTTGACTTGAGGAAGTGGAAGATGAATGGAAACTGGATTTATACCTTCTGTAAAGGTTGGAACAATGTACTTGATGCTAATAGGTCCTTTAAGGTAGATGACGTCTATCCTCTCTGGTCCTTCCGATCTGGAAAAGGAAAACTCTGTTTTGCTCTCGTCCCTTCTCAGGCGACAAGTTCCAGCCACGTCGGCTGCTCCACTTCAAGAGAATCTGGCCGTGGAAACACTCTTACCGGCGGTGATGGCGCTTCAACCTCTGGTGAATCTGGTCATGTACCATTACTGGTTAATCCTCCTTCGCATCCGGCAAAAGATTCTACCCACTCCATCCAAGGCTGTTCAGGAGGGAGCAGCTCGAATTCTTCCTAATCATATTGTGCTTATTGCTTGAGCCACAAGTTAAAAAGGGTTTTTGGTTTTCAAGCAATTCTGGATATTAGCCTTTTTTTTTTTTTGGTTTTCTTTCCTTCCTTTTTTCTTAAGTAGATTGACATAGGAAGGTTTTGTTTCACAAGGTTTTAGAACAAGCTTACGAAAGTTAGTTTGGTATTATTATTTTTCTATTGCCTAAATATGACATTTTCAATGGTTGTTTGAATATGGCATCCAATCACAAATTGATAATGGTTGTTTAAATATGGCATTGTTTCCTTGCACCAGCACAAGCCGAAGGTATATATCTGATCTGTGTCAACAACATATTTCTTGCTGACATTTTCAAGCTCCTAATCTTAAAAGAAACATGCTACTTTGATATACTTTTTCAAGTTTTTTGACCCAAAAATAAGCTACTAACTAAATTAACTACAAATAATCCCACACAAATTTCAATCCAAAAGCCATATATCTAGTGCTGTATTTTTGAAGGCCTCTTAAGATCGTGCTTGCACAAGAGATTCCAGTCACTGATCAATTTGAGAAAGTAAGAGCTCCTCAAATGACATATGATAATGATCTTGATGATATGAAGAAGCAGTTGGTAGCTTTATATTTAAAGAAGAAAGAAAAAAACACACAGAGAGCAATCCATATGTTTGTACGTACCTCTGTACGAAAACGAGTATGGGATATGAACATTATTAGATCTAGGGTCCCTTCACTAATATATATCTGATTACCAAATAGACAATCATGGGTTTATTATCCGGAGTAAATTAATGGGTATCATCATCATCATCATCATCATCATATACGGTTATGTGATCTTTAAAAGGCTGTTTAATTTGCTTAATTTATTATAGGCGTAATGCATGCATTAGTAAAACTTGTGCATTATTGAGATTGTTGTTTAACCATAGCTTTTGGGTAAATTGGGAAAAGAGTATATGTATATTGACTTGGCTTTCTTTAAATCAAATATTTTCTTTATATCTCTATCTTCTTTTTTATTTTTCTAGGTGCAAAGTATACTCTGATACTACTTTTTTGTTTGGGTACCTAAACAAATACGTGACGAAAATAATTTGCATTTACGACATTGGTCGGTTCACCAAATAACCAAACTTCTCTAACTTTTCTCCTCTTAACTTATCTGGATATATATAGATTTAGATACGTACACTAGTTTAATCACAACTTGCGATTTACATTCTCACCTGATCTGAAACCAATACGTAAGCTGTTCCTTTATAAGAAAAAGTTACATGTGCCCTCTCGAAAATAAAGTTTTCGGATATTATATTTTATGTATATATTCTTAACGGAAAGGAGAATGCTTAGTTGTATAAATCTCAAAAGAAACTATTCTCAGAATAACAACATGTAGCTAGTATTCTGTTTACATTGTGTTAAGCTGTTTCTTAATTAATGAGTTTAGTCGACATTGCGACTTGTGAGAATTAGTTGTTCTGTTCTCTCTTTTTTCTTCACATGTAAATATTCCCATAGAGAAAGAACTAAACTTTTTGCTTTGAGAAAGAAAATACTCTTTAATTAATATTAAACAATAATGGAATAAAGCACTGCTGAATTTACCCTTCATGTTGCACATTCTAATGTTATTAAAAAGCCATATTCCTATATAGAGATAACAAAATATGTATGTGAATTTTTAATTGGTTAAAGTAAAATACGTGATGAAAACCAAGATATAGTTTCTTGATCAGTAATGAACTTCTGCAGTAGTAAGGATCCTAAACTCCATGTTCTAAATTATTTAGTAGGCCGTTAACTTAACAATAACAGCTCTTTATAAAAAATTGTCGCATTTACAATTATTAAACCTTAAAGGAGCTGAGTCATAATTATATTTATAGCGAAAATATACTAGTATATGTCATTTTCAAAAACTGTTGATGACCCGATCCTATCTATGCAAAAAGAAAAGCTTTGCGTTCACTAAACATTAATTATGGCGAAACCATCCAAATTTTGACACGTTAACATCGTGTTACAAAAAATGTCTTCACAATTATGCTGTCTTCATCACTTTCAACGAGACATTCTTCGGGAAAAACCATCTCAAAGTCTAATTTTACGAAAAAAAACAATATAAAAATAATTTCATTACCAATTTTACATTATATATCTCCTAAAAGAAAAAGAGAGAAAATTAGTTTTTAATAAGATTTATTTTTTCGTGAGTTTTCTAATAAGATATAAACCAAATAATTAAATTAATTAATATTACTATTCCTCGCATGGTAAATCATCAATTTATTCTTTATAGCATAATTTTATTTACACGTAAAAAAAAGAAAAGGAAGCTTCGTAGGCGTTTTCGTGCTTCGTCGTTGGAATACATTAATTTATAGAGACTTAGCGATTAATGCTACCTGACTACCTCTCACGCGGTTCTACTAAACCGACCTTCTCTTCCTAGGCTTTATATATACACATGACTACTTCTTCCTTTTCAATTATCAATCCATATCATATATACACACCTTTTCTCTACATACTATTTTCCTCTAGCTTTTCAAAGAGAAACTATACAATTTGTTCAAAGATGAGCCAATACAGCCAAAACCAATCTGCAGGTTTGTTTATACGTCTTCTTATGCTTCCTCAGTTTTCTTACAAATTTAGATTTTCATGTGTTATCAATCTCGCCATTATCATAATTTATAGACTTTTATGGTGTATATGTGTAATACTAATGTGAAATCATTTATAAATTATATATAGGAGCTTATACTTCGCCGCCAGTGTCTACCGGTCCCTACGTGGCACCGCCACCTCCTCTAGGTTACCCTACAAACGACACAAGTTATGCAACGGCGGCTCCGGTCGAGACAAAGACCAAGGGTGATGGATTCTTGAAAGGCTGGTTAGTACTGTTATATTTGATTTATTTATTTAGTACTGTTATATGTTATGGAAGCTCAACGTGACAGGTCCTGCTCGTTTGGTTAATATAACGAACCTGATCGATTATTGTGTGTTGACACTTAAAAGACTGATAATTTTTTTGTCTGTTGTTCTAATAATGCAGTCTTGCGGCCATGTGTTGCTGTTGCGTCCTCGACGCCTGCTTCTGAGCTCGGAGGGCTTTGATGGTGTTTATTTGATTGTTTTATGCAAATTATCTATGATTGTATTTTGCTTTTACCCAAATTTGTATTTTGGGGTTCGAGATTAGCTAGCTTTTGTCTTTTGATATTTGGTATATCTATTTGTTAATTCATTTTCTTAATTATTACTCTTTGGTTTGAATTGCGGAATTTATTATCTTAATATATCAATCTTATTAGTTTTTACGCATACATCCCATAAAATCATATGCTAGATTACAGTGCTGACTTTTTTACCGCTTAGTCAACTTGAACTCGAAATCAATATACAAGTACACTATTAAGTCAAAAAAGTTTTTAATAAAAGGGAAACTATAAATTATATGTACGTATTGGGGTGAGGTTACAAACACTGAAACCCCCTAAAAGTCACTAACACAAAAATCGAAGGTGAATCCGGGAAAAATAAGGACAATGACTGAAATGTCTAACGCCGGTAAAACTGCGGTGATTGTAAAATCCATCGACTATGGTCACGACCAAAAAATCCTTCAGTTTACTGTCTGCTTGTTGGATCCAAATGTTTTAAATAGGAGTGTCTTTTTTTTTCTTACGTGAAGATTTAACCATATTTTTTATTTTATTTTTAAAAAATGTACTTGTTCAAGTTTTTTAGTGAAAGTCAAGATTTATAGTGAAAATATATATACATGCAAAAATGCTTGCGTTCGCTAGATAAGTATCGGCGTCGATGAAATGAAAACCATATACATCGTCTGATAAATATATACTAATTTCTCTATTGCAAACTTTTTCAATCTTCATCATCACTTTCGAGTTTCGACAGAACCAACTCAAATTAATTTTAACAATTTGACTTCATCACTTTGAACAGGTTTACTAATTTCTTCTTGTTAATACGGGAATTTTTTTATAATATATAAAATCCATATCATGTAAGAATATTTAATATTTAATACTAATAATTTCAATATCACAAACTATGAAACAAAACATATATTTTCATTTCTATGTTATATCACAAATAAATTAAATTTTTTAAAAAATCAACTAAAATATTAAAATTAAAAAGGATACTTCCTTCGTGGCCGTTATCTCGAGGGGTCGTCGTTGGAATAAATATCGGAAGACTTAGCAGTTAATGATATCTGCCCTTGCCCTCACGCGGTTCCTACTAATACGACCCTTCTCTTATTATTCTTCCCTACTTACATGAACATGACTACTATATATCTTCAGTTACATATATCATTTCAATTCATATCATCTCTTCTTACATACTCTTATCCTCTACATATACTTTCAAAGAAGAATCTTAATTATTCTGTTCGAAGATGAGCCAATCCAGCCAAGACCAATCTGCAGGTTTGGTTTTATATTTCTTTTCTCTTCTTTTTTTTTACTACAAAATTAGCATCTTGTTATGTGTCATCAATCTCGTCATGCAAACATCATAGTTCTAGTGTTTTATTGTTATAAACCTTAAATGTCAAATATGTGTGTTACTTAGGAGCTTATCCTCAGCCGCCAGTGTGTACTGGTCCCTACGTGGCACCACCACCGCTCGGTTACCCAACGAACGACACAAGTCATGCGACTCATCATGCCACTGCGGCTCCGGTCGAGACAAAATCTAAGGGTGATGATTTCTTGAAAAGCTGGTTAGTTTTTCTCTCTGTCTAATTCTTTTTTTTTTTTCAAAATTTTTTACGGTGGCTCAGTCAAATATTGAATCGGATAGGTTTTTGTGTGTTGAAACTTGACATATTGATAAATTTGTTTTCTTTTTCTTTTCTTTAAATGCAGTCTTGCGACCTTGTTGGCCTGTTGCGTCATCGACGCATGCATCTTCTGAGTTCGGCGGAATTCGATTGTTTATTTGCTATTTCATGTAAAATAGATTTTTTTCATTGTACTTTTCTTTTAACCAAATTATATTTTGGGATTGGCTTATGACATTTGGAACTCTTATTTGATAGTTTATTTTTTTTATTATTTGGTTTGTAATTGTGGAATTTATTATATAAAAATTGTGGGAGTACTTTCATATCTTTAGACTTCTGCCTATAATTTTCTCCGATCCGGCACCTATGATCAGCCGTTGATAATATATGTGTAAGACGTAAATCATTCTTATCAAGTAGAATGAAACTACTCATCTTTAGTTGTTATTCTCAAAGTCAATAGAGACCACCTCACTTGATGAGTTTCTAATCTTTGATATTTTAGATTTTCTTTTACACATATATTAAAATGGCTAATCCTATAACCGTTTCATCATAATATCCAAATTTTCATTTTGGCGGAGAAGAAATTTGTACCTTGCAACTTACCCAAAATTGTCAAGTTGTCAACTGTGTTAAGTCAAAGTAACATCGCTTTAGACTCTCATGCCTAAAAGCCTAAAGGGGCAAGTCTATTTAAAAAATTATTTTATGTTAATGTGTAAATAAATGGGTTACAAGTAGTAGAGTCGGTCTTGAAAGTGAAAGACGGAAACAACAACAAAATTTAATTTCTCTTAAAATAATGATCCTTATATTATATCTTACCAAGTCTCTTCAGTTTGAGATTCTTAATCAACGGTTATAGATATTGCGCGGGACCTCATGTTAATTTTGATATATAGGTGGGATCATCAAGTCATCATGTATGGTATATGTGGTAGTCTTTGAATTAGACTTTTATATTTTCAGATTTGACGTAATCTCCATTGGTCAAACTTGTGCATGGGGAATCTGTCGTACTACATATATGTTTTTTTTCTCTCTTTTGATAAAATTTGAGAACCTGTCGTATATATATATATTGACTTTATCTTTATCTTCATAAAACTTGGCTTAGTTTAATTTGTTGGATAATTCCAAGTGACTTGGGGAGCAAGTCAAGGGATTCACAAACATGATCTAGATAAGGGCAAGTTATTTAGATAAGGCTTTGTGTTGTTTTCCTAATCTAATTAGGATTAAGGTGTTGTCTTGGTTCTATAAATACTAAGCTTGTGAAGAGATGTTTCACAAGACTTGAGAGGAGATTTAGTTTTTGAGTAGTTTTCTAAATCAATAAGAAAGGTTGTTCTTATATTTCTCAAGCACATATAATCCTAGATAATTTTGTTCCTCCACTTTAGGATGAAATGCATAATAACGCGTTATACATGATCATCTTCTTTTCCTTTGGTCCAATTATTTTCTTATATCTGTTACTTTTTGGGTGTAAATTTAACTTGATATAGCTACGCAAATACAATAATACGTGACGACTATAAAGTGAGAAACAATGGCACGTACGGTTGGTTCACCAAACAAACCAAACTTCTTTCGCTCCTCTGAGTTGTCTGAAATTAAGATTTAGATATACACTACCCTATAATTTGTGATTTACATGTCCACCTACAATTTGAAATTAAACAACAAAAGTATTTTTAATTCTTCATAAGAAAATTTTATCCCGAAAATTAAAGTTATATATGTATAGTATATTCTAAATGGAAATAAAGAAAATATTAGTTGTAAATCTCAATAGAAATTATCCTCTCTGATATACTTACTTTGTTAAATTTACATTAGTCAAAATTTGTAAGGTTTAACTATTGTTATCTCTTTTTCATTAACATGTAAATATTCCCATGAAGATAGAAAGAATATAAACTCTTTATTAATCAGGAAAGGAATAAAACCAATGCTGAATTTTGTCATTAATGTTGCATATTCTATGAGGTTATCTAAAAGCTTCTGTATGAGATATATATTGATATCATCATATCCAATCATAATGTCCTTTCCAATAATAATAGTATCTTTCTGTAAATTGCAATATAAAATATTTGATTAACTTTAAATCTATAAAAGAATAGTAGAAATCAAGTAGTTCAAAATTTTTAAAAAAGGGTAAAAAGCAAGTGAAAATTGAACAATATAAACATAAAATTTAATATATATTATTAAGTAATGTAACACGTTTTTGAATGTTGATATAACACGTTTTTGAATGTTGATATAAGACGAAATTGGTAACATTATGATGCTTATTTATTGGTTAATTTTGAATTTACATTAAGGAACAAAAGGAAGATTCGTAGCCATGCGTCATGTCATCATCTTTGGAATAAAAGTTTCGAAGACTTAGCAATTAGTGCTATCTCTCTCACGCGGTTCCTCCTCCTATCTACCAAAACCGACCTTCTCTTTTTTCTTTCTTCCCTTTACCTCTCTCTCTCTATATATATATATGTACATGACTAATACATCTTCATTTCAATTCATATCATTACACCTTTCTCATCAATCTCTATAGAACAATACTCTTCTCCTCTTTTTAATTACTCTAACTAATCTCGTTCGAAGATGAGCCAATACAGCCAAAACCAGTCTACAGGTTTGTCTTCTTTCTTACTAGTTAAGCATCATATTCGTATGTTGTCATCATTCTAATCATATTTCTTGATCAGTTTCATTTATATGGTAATAATCTAACAGTACGTCAACATATGTATAATTTCAGGAGCTTATCCTTCGCCTCCAGTGTCTACCGGCCCTTACGTGGCACCGCCACCTCTTGGTTACCCAACTAACGACACAAGTCACGCTACGGCTGCTCAGGTCGAGACTAAGCCCAAGGGTGATGGATTCTTGAAAGGCTGGTTAGTCCTCTCTCTCTCTCTCTCTCTCTCTCTCTTTCTCTTTTTAATAGTATAACCGGGCACGCACGTTTTGGTTAACTATCAAACCGGATCGGTTATTGTGTGTTAAAACAGTGATTAATTTTTTTTTCTTTTTCCATTGAATGCAGTCTTGCGGCCATGTGTTGTTGTTGTGTCCTCGACGCCTGCTTCTGAGGACTTAATTCGGTGGTGTTTTTTTATTTGATTTCTCATTGTATTTTTGCTTATTACATTTTGGGATTTGATTAGCTTATGCCATATGGTACTTCTAATTTTTTTAATTCATTTATATTATCAGCAGTCTTTGTAATTTACCATCTTATTATGAATAAATATTTTTCTTCTCTTACACATCTAAACCATGCTCGACTTTTCAATTTTGACTTTATGACCGATTAGTCAACCTGGACTCGAATTCAATATAATAACACTATCAAACCAAACTTATAAATAATTAAAACTATTGGGGTGAAATAACAAACACCGAAAATTCCGATGCGTATAAATACATTCACGATAAACCCTCAAAATTACTAACTCACGGAAAAAAACGAAGGCAGCTCCGAGAGAAGAGAGCGACGATGGTGAAATGTATGAAGCCAGGAAAAGCTGTGATCCTCTTACAAGGACGATACGCCGGTAAAAAGGCGGTGATTGTGAAGTCCTTCGATGACGGTACCGGCGAGAAGCGGTTCGGTCACTGTCTCGTCGCCGGTTTGAAGAAGTATCCGAGCAAAGTCATCCGTAAAGATTCGGCCAAGAAGACGGCGAAGAAATCGCGCGTGAAGTGTTTCGTCAAGGTCGTTAACTACCAGCACGTGATGCCTACGCGCTACACTTTGGATTTGGACCTTAAGGACGTTGTCTCCGGCGAAGCGATCTCTTCCAAGGATAAGAAAGTGACGGCTCTCAAGGAAGCCAAGACTAGGTTTGAAGAGAGGTTTAAGACTGGCAAAAACAGATGTTTCTTCACCAAGCTTAGGTTTTGAGTCTTAGTCTTAAAGTTTCAATTTTGCTGATTAAAGTTTCAATCTTTCAATGTTTTCTGAAATTTTTGTACTTGTTGTTTAGGTTTTGATCTAAATTCAGTATTTGATGGTAATAATTATTCAACTTTGATGATTAAAGTTTCAATTTTGATACATTTTTTTGGTTAATGAAACACAATTTTATATAGAAATGAAGAATTAATCTAGAATGATACAACAAGAATCAAAAATTTCAAGGAGCTTTGGATCGTTTCGCACATAACCATTGCCTTGATGTTTGGAGGTCATCTTCTACGCTCATTGGGACATGCCATGTTCCATCTTCAGACTCCTGCATTATCCATCAACCATAATCATTATTGCTAAATGCAGACGAACACTTTTGAGGTAGAAATAGAAATGTGAGCGTTGTTGACCTGTATAACAATGGAGTATGGAGGTGGCATGTGTAGTGTGAGTCCATTTTCTCTCGTGACAGAGATCCGCACCTGCAACATTGGAATCCAATACAATCAAAGTTTCTATATGCAGACATACATACATTGACGCATGTTATATTTTTTATATTATACCTGATGCTTCTCTTTCCACCTTGGGAAGAAACTATTTCCTAGTAGTTGGAAGAGATGGTCTCTCATCTCGTCGTTTGTCACCAATAAACACTTGCAAGTTACAGCTGCGTAAAGCCAATACCTGAAACCAATGATTTCAAATAAGAAATGGTTTTGTCTTTTAGGGATCATTCATGGTCAATGCAGTCCACAGACTTAAAAAAAACAAGCAAATGCAAATACCAATCATCGTTTGAGCCAGGAGGAGTAGCATAGAGAGCACCAGCGTTTTTCCATTTCTCTAGCAAGGCTCTGTTTTTAGGATGGGTAGCTGGACCTCCATTCACACGACTCTTGTGCAGGATCACAAGTGGTAATCTTTTCGACGGACTTATTTGTTGACATCTTTGGACAGTATTGTTAAGCTAGAGGCGAGAGATAGAGTCGCATTAGTTATAAAGTTATGGTCTTGAGACTGGCACTAGAATGAAATAAGAGTAGCTAAAAATCACCTGGAAGAAGCTGAAACTCCGCTGGTTGACTAAGCCCATGTTGGCTCCGTCAATGACTGCATCAAATGGTCCATGTCTTTCCAGCCATTCCTGCGAGCCCAACCCAAACCTTTTTCAGCTTTGCTTCTAGATAGAGTTTCACTACAATCCATTATTATTACCTGAAACTGATTGAAATTAGCCTTGACTTCTTTTTCACAGGCCAATCGGGTCAACGATGCAGCGAATGTTTCTGTCTCAACCGGATTGATATCAATACAAACAAGCTTCTCTTTGCAACATTTACACACACCATTCTTATCCATCTCTGTTCTTTTCACATTCCAGTTGCCAGTCCCAAGCCATCCTTGTCCATGCCACCCACCACCACCACTCACAACCGCATCTCTTATTTTCTTCAAATCCCATTTCTTAACTCCAGCTTTTGCTGCTGCTTCAGATTTAAACCAGTCCTCAATCGTATCAAAAGTCGATTTGGAAACTTGTCTCACCAAATCTCTCAACCGCTGTAACGTCTCATAGACCTTGTCTGCGTTCTTTGTATCCATACTAACTTTCAAAACAGCAGCAAGCTCAGGCTCTTCAGGGACTACATCTGATTCAATCATGTGGGCATCGACTTCATAAGCTTTGTCTGCATCACCCTTCCTACAGAAACCAAAAAGAGCTGGTCCATAGGATCTCAGCCGTGGTTGAATACCAAAGGCCTTCATCTGTTTCACCATATCGAAAGCCATTTCCGGGTCATCCTTTGCAACGGCAAGTCTAGCACCATTTGTGAAAGTTGCTTCATTGGGAACAACTTTGTCAACAATCATCTGCTTAAATATATCAAAACCCCTACTAAGACCTGGATTTGGAGAAGAATCTGTTGTTGCCTCAGCCAACGAGCATACATAGAGCAACACATTATAATGGTACTGGCTGAGCTGAACGCTATTGCGTCTTGCCTCATCATACAAGCGAAGAGCTTCCAAGACATCACCTTTCCTGGAGCACATATCTAGCTTTTGTTTCAACATTGCTTCAGGAGACTGTTGAATAGCTTTCTTCTTCGCTTTCTTCGATAAGTTTCCGGAAGGTGAAGCTGCTGATTGTTTAGCAGCAGCGAGGGGAAGTGTGCATAGATGTCTGCTACGTTCAACAAAAAAAAGTCGTCTATCACGGGTACCTTTGATAAGTAAGGAAGTTTGGTACCAACGAAAAGAAGAAAAACTAGGATGATGGAGATGAACAGATGGGACTTTGTGCATCATTGAAAATAAAGGACAACACGCCCGAGAAAATGAAGGAGAAAAACAAGTTACACGCAGCATAACTCTGCTCTCAAGCTGTTGAAGAATTAATTTTCAGCCCAATTCATCTGCGAGAGACAGTACAAAAATATTCAAGAGTTAAAAAACGAGTTGTCTTCTTCACTTAGTCTAAGCATATAAAAGCTCTATACATTATCGAGAAAAAGCAATAAAATCTTCAAGAAAAAACAGTAACAGAAAATACAAAATCTACAACCTTTGTATACGGCCAATTTGCAATATATCCGAAACTTAGTCCAAGAACAAAACTTTAGAAAAGGGTTATGGAAGAATGTGAATTTTCAGTCTACAAAGGAATGAAAATGTGGAGAAACGTCAAAATTGCTCATTGGGTAATATCGTCGAGCAGGTTGAAGGCAAAATAACTTAAGAAATTTAGGAAAAAGAACTTACTTCGCGCCAGAGAGGAACTTTCTTTCTGGTGGGAAAATTGGAAAGGATAAAAAATACGACTTTGGTCGGCACAGCTCCTCCTTCAGGATTCACCATGGATTATCTCCAAGGTTAACAGATTGAGATATAAGAGTTTGGATGCTACATTCTAACGACATCGTTTAGTTTCTTTTGAGTTTATTACTATCCATTGAAGCCCAATAACGGCCTAAATATTTACAATGGGCCTTTTAAGAAAAACGTTAGGGTTTGGAGGAGGGGTTTTAACATGCTTGGTTTAGAAAAAACCCACGACAAATCAAACTTCCATTTCAATGAATGAGAAAACAAGAGTATGGCAATGGAACAATGTGAATAGCCAGTATCTATCTACAAGCTACAAGCACGAAAACAGTGCGTGTAATGTCTATGTCATATCTACAGAAGCTTTGTGATGAATTAGCAGCATGAGAGATCCTTCCACTGATGGTGATGAATGATGATCAAAGAATGTGAAGATGTCAACAACTGCAAAAAGTAGCAGTCACCATTCTACAAGAGCTTGTAGTAGCAGTCACGTCCTGAGAAGAGAGTTCGGTAGTTTCTTCCACATGGACAGTTGATCTCAACCACAAACGCCTCGCCGACTCTATCCACTTTCACACCTTCTTTACAGTCTCTCTGTTGGTCCTCTTGTACTACCTCATCTTGTGCCTGCACCGCAACAAGACAATCATTTGTACTTCAGAGATTATAAGAGACAAGTGAGCAACTCAATGAAAGACATGTTCTCTCAACCAATACGATTCTCCCAAATGCATTTCATCAGATACATTCCATTGAGTCTCCATGAGATTAGAAGAGTCGAACCTTGGGACTGTCGTCTTGTTTCACAGAGGAGACTGCTTCCCCGTACTTAAGGAGCTTGTTACACCACTGATCCAATTCACGAACTCCATCCTTGATAACATACAGCATCTGCCATCATCACCACCTTGAGTTAAAGCTACACAGAACATTTCTACTTGGAAAGACACAAGTCAAGTTTATCTCTATACGATCAGCCAAGAAACTGAAACTTGGTTTTCAAGCCTACCACAATCCATAAATCGCAGAATTCTCAAATGAATCAGGTAACAGAACCTGGTAAAAGACTAAAGGAATATTTCTAACCTTATTGGCTTCAGAGCTTTCTGGATTGACAAAGTCACCATCAGGAATTGGATTGAAGCGAGAAGATCGGAGAAGAGCCTTGGAGGAAGGTGCCGGCGAAACATCAGAGACGGACCTCCGGAACATCGGTGGACGTGGCGGGAGAGAAGGGACGTTACCCGAAGACGGTGATGTTTCTTGAGCGACGCCGTTTCGTGTATTACCCGACCCGAGTATAGATCCAACGGGCGAAGCAAATGTATCGGATAAAGATCGCTTGTAAAGAGGCGAACGGATTCGATTCGGGTTGAGTTCAACTACCGGAAGCGGAATCTTAGAATATCCCATCATATTCGCGTCTTCTTCTTCTTCCTCAGGTCGTGGAATAAACAGTTTCTTGCGTCTCGGCTCGTCAGCCTCCTTCGATTCCGGCGATGGACGTTTCACGGGGCTGGTTATCGCGGTGGCTGAAGATGAGCCGAAAGACCCGTACGATTGAAACTGCGGAGGAGACGAGTTCGCACGGCGGCGATCGGAGGAGTTCCCGAAGCTGTTGAGACGAAGGAGGGAGAGATCGATTTCATCTTCGTCAGGATCGTAGGTACAATCCGTTTCTTGGGAGTTATCGATTAAGGTTCCTAGAGTTTCCGCCATGTTTAGTGTCGTCATCTTGGTCTCAATACTGTGTTAAAGCTAAGCGCGAAAGAGAGAGAAATGAGAAGTTGAGGAAAGAGACGATCACCGGCTCTGGAGTTGGGTTTATATATGGAGATACGGGTCGACTGAACCGAGTTTGTAAACCAAACCAGTTTAGTTGGATAAATATCAAATTAACTTCACCTTTCATTTTAATTTAATAAAATATAGCTGAACAATTGCTTGACCTACAAGCAAGGACTGGTACAAACAAAATCCCCAGACCCATGAAAAACAGAAACCAACGTCACAAGCAAATATAAGCAGAGAGAAGCATATTCACGCAAAGCTTCACAAGTTCTGCTATCAAAATTCAAAAACCCCCAATAAAAATAAAACAAATGAAGAAGGAGAGATCTTCACTTCGAATATGAACATCACATTCCACGCTGAGAAGACGAGACTAGTACTTTTTTCCAAGGATTATACCAATGATAACAGAAACAAGAGCCACACCAGTTATGATCTTCACTGTCATGAGATGCGACGTTGAGGCTGTTTGAGTAGTAGTAGTAGTAGTAACATTGCTCGAAGAAGAAGGAGATGCATCTGACTTCTTTTTGCTCTGACGTTTAGTTGGAGAAGAAAAGGACAAGTCAATGTCTCGAGATTTAACACTTACATCCCTCGCCTCCGTTTCCTGCAAGTTTGGTTTTTGATTATTAGCAATTATGCTTTGAGGATTTGAAAACTAGGCAGTTTAACCATAGTACAATGTTTCTTCCCTAAATATATGCATCTTATGTCATTTTCCCTCTAGATGTTATCAATCAAATAGAGTTCAGCGCAGAGATATTATGACTAACCTTAACTTTAGCATCCGCAAGCTGCACTTTCTGTTCAAGATCTTTGACCATTGATTCAAATTCAGCGGACGCCTTTTTCTTAGCTTCAATCTCTTCTTGTGATTGCTTTAATGCAGACTCAAGCTCTGACTGCTTCTTGGAGTGTGCTTCTTTCTATATCCACGAAAACGATTTCAGAGTTTAGTGACATAATGAGGGAAGATGGATTGACTTTTATTTTTATTTTATTTTATCATAAAACTTAAGAGCTCTAAAGTAACCAGAAAAAGTAATCTGAGATCTATGAAGTTCAAACAAAAGAAAGATTATTAACCTGTTCAGCAAAGGAATTCTGAGTCACTTGAATCTCTTTCTGAAGCTGGAGCACTTGCTCATTGAGTACATCTCGTTCACCAGCAATATGTTCGTGTTCCTGCAGTTTTGAGGTCAGTTCCGCCACTTTTACAGAAGCAGCTGCTGCATTTTCAACCTGTAGAAACATCATCAATCAGTAAACCAATACTTTTATTTTATGTCCTTAATTATGATATAGATAATTTCGTCTGTTGGAGGTGAATGCCCTACATTTTCTTTCAACTGAGCTTTGACCTCTGACAAGGTTTTCTGAAGTTCTTCAAAATGGGATTCCAGAACGGACTTTTCAGCAGCCACAACCCTGAGCTTCTCAATCTCGGACACCAGAGTATCAGCTTTAGAGCTCTCTATGGTTAGTTGTTCTTCAAGCTTTGCAATAACTGACTGGAGCTCATCCTTGGTACTCTGAAACATTGCATTGACTTGGTTGTTTTCCTCAGCGTGGGAAGAGATCTGCAGCACAAAGAGGTGTCATATTCTCAAGATTGCATACTAAAAACTGTGGCACTGTTGAAGGTAATTAAAACATGTTTTGATTCGGGGTGTTACCTGAGACTGTAATTTCTCCCCTTCAGAGGTAAGCTGCTTTGTTAGATCTTCTATTGTCGTTTTTGAAGCCTGAAGCGCAATGGCTGTTTGCTCCTTCTCAGCCTCCAAGGCAGAGAGCTTCGTCTGCAACTCGTTGGCCTCTGACCCATGATTGGCTAGTTCCTGGTTCAGCTTTAAATTCACCTCAGCCAGATCCCCGCTTTCTTTCTCAAGCCCCTGGCATTTGGCCCCGAGCTCCTCAATAGTAGATTCAAGATTCTTTAATTTTGATAGAGTCTCGTCAAGCTCAACTTTTCTAGTTTCTGCAACTTCTGATGCTTCATGAGCCAGCTTTTTGTACTCTTCCATTTGGTTTTCATGTGCTTTTAACTTTTCAACCAAGTCATTAGATTCTGTTTCTTTCTGATTAAACTTTTCAATTGCCTCTTCTAACCTTTTCAATGCAGTTTCCTTCTCGACTGAACCAGAACCAATTAACCCCTCAAGCTCGTGAATTTTGATCTTGAGCTGGTTGTTTGTCTCTGCTAGTAGTTCATTCTCTGATGATGACTGCAAAGATTTTTCTTGGGCCTGATCAAAATCTTGTTTGAGTTTCTCATTAACTGATTCTGCAGCTGCAAGTCTTCCCAAAGTCTGTTCAAGTTCTTCTTCTAAAGACGAAGATTTGCCAGATGCTTCAGCCAACTGCTCTTCATATGATTGTATTCTGCCTTCCAAGTCTTTCAACTTCTCAGTCAAAGAACTGGCCTCTGAATCTTTGCTAGTGAAATCCTCCATTGCCTTTTGAAGTCTATGTTCTGAGTCTTTACTTAAAGACTGATGCAAAGCTTCAAGCTCCATGTTTTTCGTCATTGCTTCATCTATTTCTCTTCCTTTCTGCTCAAGACTCTCTTCAGCAGACTTCAGTTTCTCCATTACTTCGCTTTCCCGTAAACCAGAAGTTTTCAGATCATTTTCAATACTCTCCAACTTTCCTTGTGTGACATTCAATTCACTCCTGAGGCCTTCTAACAGATTCTCAGACTCACTGATCTTCGTACTGAGCTCATTTACTGTATCTTCTAGTTTTGTTTTCTCCCCCATAACAACATTTAGATTTTCTGTCAGTTCTTTCTCAGTCTCAGTTGCAATGTTTAAAGCAGCTTCAAGGCTCGAACTTTTCACTTGAAATGCCTCAAGTGTGGATTGAAGCTCAGCCACCTGACCCACGTAACCTTTGGAATCTGCTTCAGTTTCCGCACACTTCTTCTCAAGCGAGCTAACCTGCTCCTCAAGTTCCTGAATTCTGTATTTTTCTGTCTGGAGGAGAAGCTCTAAGTCTTTCAATCTTCCTTCTGCGTCTTCATGTTTTGACTGTGATGTTTGACACAGACCTTCTAGTTCAATGCTGCGCTGATGAGTTGTATTAGCACGGTCTTCATGCTCTGCACCCTTCTGCAAAGCGGTTCTCAAATCTTCTTCAAGCTCTGAATTTCTTGCCGATAGTTGGTTCAGAGATGATTCCAATCCAGATGCTTTTTCCTGGTATTCCTGCATCTGACTGGTCACCTGTTTCTTCTCTTCTTCGACAACATCAATAGCAGTTTTTAGTTCAGATGCTTTCACAGACAGTTCTTTCAACTCCCGTTCTGTATCACTGCTTTTCAGCTGCAATAAGTTCAGTTGCTGCTCAAGCTCCACGTTCTTTTGTTCAGCTGCAGTGAACTGTGTCTCCAGCTCTTTTATCTGTGATCTGGCTTCTTCTGCTGCTTGACTAGAGGACCGAACAGCATCTTCTAACTCAAGATTCTTCTGGGTAGCAGCTGCTGCTACAGATCCAGCTTCCGTATGAAGCTCCTCCAGCGATTTCAGTTTCTGTTCATGTTCAGAGTTGTTTGACAAAGCTTGAGACAGAAGAGCATCAGTTTTGGAGAAATTCTCCTCTGAAGTTTTCAGTTTCTCTTCTAGTTCATTGCAGACCTCTTTTAATTTTCCTGCATTACTCGTGATCTCTGCTACATTTGCTTCAAGCGCTTCTTTTCCTTTCAACACTTCAGCTAGCTTCTCATTTGCAGTTCTCAGCTTTTCTTCTTGGTCTCTCAATACGGACTCCAGCATTTCCTTCTCCTTGAGTTCTTCCGCAAGCTTTGAATTAATACCTTCCTGTTCAGAAAGTTTAGCCTGAAGATCTTTGATCTGAACATCCAAATCCTGGAGAACAGATAACTCTTCCTTGAACTGAGATTCGGAAGCTTTCTTCTGCTCAAGTTCCTGAGTCAATTCATCAATGAGGGTTTCTGTGGAAGACACCTTTTGTTCCGTCTCCAACAAACGAGATTTCGAAAGTGCCAATTCCTCTTGCACTGCAGCTAATTCTCCCGCACTACTCTTTAAGGCCGCTTCAACTTTTTCGTTTTCAGAAATCCTATTATTCAGCTCCTTGATTTCTTGTTGCAAGGACGCCATTTTTTCCTCCATTTCCTTGGCACTTTCTTTTGTGGATTCAAGAAGCTCTGCAAATTCTAACGCCTTCTGCGTCTCAGAGTCGGCATGAGAAGCACTTTGCTTATGCAGCTCTTCAAATTTCTGAGCCTCTTCAGCTGACCGATTTAGCCCCTGCTCCAGCTCTATCAACTTCTTTCTGGAGCTCTCAAGCTCTATACCCAACGCATCAAAAGCTTCCTTAACTTCAGTTAGTTCCTTATCTTTGGCATCGTGGGATTGCAAAGCCTCTTCTAAGGACTTTAACTGTGAGCTGTGTCTCTCTTCCCCTTCAACAATTTTCTCTTGTTGCTTCTTTTGGACAACTTCAAGATCTCCGTGCTTCTTTTCCATTTCTTCTAACTTCTCTTTGGCAGACAAAAGCTCATCCTTCAAGTGCGTGTTCTCAGATTCATATCGTTTTAGTTCCCCTGCTACTCTTTCCAATTCGAGCTCTAGTTCTTTCGCCTTTTCTTGTGATTCATGTAGTTCTCTTTGTGAACCACTCGAGCTTCTTTCAACTGAAACTTCCTTTTTCTCTTCAACAGGAACATGCTCTGCTTTCTTGGCATCATCCTTGGAATCAAACGCTTCCTTCTCAACTTTTATAAATTCCCCATCGTCCTCTTCCTTCTCTTCCTTTGGAATTTCTCCATTCACAGCCTGAAATAGGACTATACTTTAATATTTCCACAACAAAACTTAAATGTTTGATCCTACTACTAAGAAGCTTGATGGACAGACAGGAGATTCAGTAAGTGAAAACAAGTAAAATCAATTCAAGACTCGCATCACTATACAGAATTTTCATAGTCACGCAAACAGATAATTCTGCAAAACTGAACACTATGATCATTACCTTGACGGAAAAATCAACTGTCTTAAGGTCATCAGCATCACCTTTCACTACAGGGACCTCGGAACTTGCTACTTGAGTTGGTTCCTCCATCTTATGATCGAGCAGTTACGATTAATTTTGATTCTGCAGAATAGAAAAAAAGAAGAAAGATATCGCATGAGAAGAAATCCGAAGATGATATACTTCTACTTATATCAGATTTCAGAATTCTTTACATCAAAAAAAAAAAAGAAGAAAACAGTAGCTTGCAAGTAAGAGATTGAAAACAATCAAGATAAGATATTTATTGCAACAGTCAACAAGTATACATCATCTCTCATTACAACTATTTGAAATACCAATTCAATAAAAGATTTCTAATTTGATTTGGTTTAGCCCTTTGTTTTATAAAAGGACAAAGTTTTAAATCAGAAAAGCTAAGGAATCCAAAACAATAAGGAGAAGACAAAGATCAATAGGTATTATGGGTGCTGGCATGTGATGTTATCAGAGTTTGGATCTGTTTTAATAGCCAACAAACTCTACCATGATACAAATGAATAAAGCATACTTATTAATATAAATAAATACCCTACCAAACAAACTAAAGATAAGTAAGGTGTAAAGTGCCCACCACCAAAACCATCAGCATCAAAGTTTCTTTCTTTTTGTATAGAGAATTGCTCTGATGTTATATAAGAAAATATAAACAGAGGCTTTAATTATGCCATAACAAAGTATCCAAACAATTATTAAGCAAATTATAATAAACTAATCTTATTATTATTAGACATATAGAATAAATTGACTATTGTATTGTAGGGAATGAAAAGAATCATAAGGTACGCCGACCAGATGCAACGATGAATCATGGGCCAGTGGTTTTGTAACAAGAAAACAAAGACTATATATTTTTTTGTTTTATACTTTTTTAATAGTAGATCATACAAAACATTTGCTTAAAAAAACAAAAGAACCAAAGCAAGTCCTCATTAAAAATATAAATCTCAAGAGGAAGAGTAAACCATATATCTATGCTGATGGATCAACAAACATCATTTTCGCTTGATCCAATATCCAACCAAAATTTTCATTTTTCTAAGCAATTGTATAAAAACCAAGAATATTCGATCAAAAGAGGAACTTTTCTAATATTGGATAAGTTTTTTTCTTGATTTGTCAAACATAATTATTTGGTCCAAGTCTAATCGTTTGCCTAAGTAGATAAAGACATAAATAATATTTGGTAAGGTTGCAACTTGCAAGTAAGCTTTTTATTTTTCTCTTTTTTGTTCGTTCAAAAGTTGCAAGCTTAACACCACCCAACAAACAAATCATGCTCCTCCTAATCACCATGTATAAAATATTCAACAGTATGATCTGGCTATTTCGAAAAAGACGATGATTAGTATAATACTGTTTTCTAAAGAACCTACCACTAAACATTCCAAGATGTTTACTTCGTTACCAAAATCCAAAGAGATGAAACGATTCGAACTCTGATGAACTTCAAAATCCGTTCACAGAACAAAATGATCATGACTTTAAACAATACTAGAATCTGATTTGATGATCAATCTGAAGTTTTTTACTGTAGGAGAAGAGATTTATCGATTTAGTGATAGATCTAAGCACATAGAGACAAGAAAAACTTGGATCAATCAATCTCAAAATGAAAACAAATCATAGTAGAACTAAGAAGAAGACGAAGCAGCCAGCACACAACAGAACTTTCTAACAGACTAAGGATCTGAATCGATTACTAACCCACAGAAACAAATAGCGAAGTAACGCAACAGAATCAGGAGGATCAAATATTAAAAAAAAAAAAAAAAAACAGAACATGAATTTCAAAAGTGCTTACCAAGTGAAGAAGCTGCTGAATCTGAGATTGAACTCTGTTTTTTTCCTTAAATATTCAGAATTTTAATCGCAGCTGGAGGAAGAGAAAAAAATGCAGAAAGAGAGAAAAAGAGTAGATGATGACGAAAAATGCAAATTTGGTGTGTGTGTGTGTGTGTGAGAGAAAGAGGAAGAGAATCTTTTCTTAGGGTTTATAAAGCGAGAGAGTGAGTGTAGGGTCGTCGTCGTTTCATATTATTATTTTTGAAAGCCAAATCTGGCGGACGAGAAGACCGTCGTTATGTTTTTCATATTTCCCATTTTGCCCCCTTGTTTCTTTTTTCTTGGGTCATCATAATCACTTTTTTCCTCTAAATGACACATTAACAAGATCCAGTAATGACCAAAACATTTTGTATTATTACATATCATATTTATCAAAAAAAGTTTTTAATTTCCTATATATTTATTTCTTATATAAAATTAATGTAATTACTAATAAAAACTAAATTTTGTTTTTTCTTTATGTATAGATAAGTTTTTAAACAATTAGAAAAGAAATAAAAAGAAAAGTGTTTGACATGTGTAATAAAACTAAAAATGGATAACACCAAGTAAAACCAGAAAATCTATTTAGTTATAAATTCCTAACATGTTCTCATCTAATATATGTAGATATAAAAGGCATGTTATAATATATTATTAAAGTTATGATTAAATACTAGAAAGAGATCAATAAACATATCTTCTTTTTTTTGGGGACAATCAATAAACATATCTACATAGTGTACCTAATTCATGGACTGAAATAATCTTCTTACTTACAAAAAAATATGTGTATACTTTAATTCAGTAAAAACATGTCATAAAACTACATAAGAAATATATACACATGTAATAATATAGTTCATGATTCATAATTGTTTTGAAGGGTTGACCAAAGAAAGAATTAAGATTGAAAGAAAGGGCAGATTAGTCATTTGGGAGGATGTAGAAGAAGAACAAAAAGAGAGGCGGTGGCTGAACGGGCTTGGCTGGCTTAGTCAGGAAAAGGCGAGTAAGAAAGGCCCACAGCACCAATGGAGCCACCATCACCGACCGACCAAACCGTCCTCACCATTTTATCTTTTTTCTTTTAGATTTGACCCCTCAGCTTTTATTTCCTATTTTATTTCCCCCCTAACAAAAACGCTTTCACTTTTTTATTATTTGTTTGTTTATACATAATAATAGTTTCAAAATTCGACATCACCTTTATTTCCAAGTTGTGCAAAAGAAAATGAACCGTCACCGGCCTGAAACCGTCACTATATATAACAAGAAAAATAAGTTTATTATAATCCGAGCAATTCGTATTGCAGTTCTAAAAAAATAAAATGGTTCAAGCTATTGAATACGTAAGAAACTAAAGAAAAGTAAATTATTTGATGGTGAATCTCAGTTTCCGTGATGTGAGTCTTGTGAATTGTGATATTTATGTCATATTGACATGCATATCTTTCATTCATTCAATTTTTTTTCTCAGTGAAATCTTATCGTAAATTTGGAGTTTCAGGACTTAAATGGTAACAATTTCAAAGAGACTTGAATGATAATATTTGAAAAGACGGATTTCAAGGTTGCTGTAAGAAAAAATCTGGTCATGTGCACAAATTAGCAACATCACAATGTAAATTCATTTTTAGTTAGATATAAATGCATCAAAAAAATATATACTTATATTTTTGATGATTGACATATGTACTCGATTAGTTATGTGAAAACAAAACACCCTTTTATTCGGAGGCTATTGGAACAGCAAAAAGTTTTGGTCTTAGGTGTATATACTTACTGTATATTACAAAGTTCACATTAGACACATTTTATTAATACAGAATTTGAAAGGAATCATCATGCTAATTAGTTGTATCTCTTTAAATAGATTGTATTTAATATTCAAAAGTGGTCAAGTAAGCCAAATTGGCGGCTATTGAAATTGAAACGTCCTCATTTTGGGTCAAAGAAACGTAGCTAATCTCATCTTCGGGAATTTTCTTTCTACATATTTTTTTTTCTTTTTTGGTTATTACTAAAGAAGACTGAAAAAGTCACACAAGAGAGAATTTTAAACGAAAACTTTTATACTTGGAAGACCCAATCATATACGTCACAGACAAAAACCAGGATTATTATCATATCTTAAAATGTGGGACTTCTACCAAATCAATAGAAAACTAAAAGGGTCAATTTGCTATTAACTCAAAGAAAAAACAATTAAGAAGAACATTTTTTAGAAAAAAAGTTCCTAAAAATCTCTCATTTTGAATTCGCTGCTGGGAAAGTTGCAAGCGAGTTGATAAAATCAGCGGTTCAGTTTCCGACATCACTCAGATTCTCTATTCCTCGCGAAGAGATGCTGCCCTGACGAATACACACTTTGAGCTCGACAGGTTTGATTTTTGGGTTTATGTTTTCTTCTTCTTCGAGATTGAACTGGAGCTTTTGTGTTGTGATTTTCTTGGATTTTCTATGCAAGCTGGTTCGTAATATTCAATTACATATCTGAAAATTAGCAAATCTCTAATGCTGCTATTGTGGAAATTCGTTTTTTTTTTTTTTTTGGCTAATACAGTTGGAGCTAGTATGGTGTAGTTGTGATTGTGTTGTAGTTTCTGTACAGTACTAGCTGGGGTAACCAGTGTTTGAGCGGACTATGGTGTCTTACGGATTTGTATATTTTTGTAACTTATATCAGTATGTCATTGCATTTCAGAGTCTATCAAGAAACAGGTCCGCGTTGAGATAGATTCTATGTTTATGGAGGAGATAGATCTTGAAAGAAACTGGATCAAATTTAGGTTTTCTTGGTGCTCATAGTTTGGATGACATGGATGTTGAAGATGTCGAAATAGATCTTCTAACAACAAGTGGCAATGTAGATGAGTTTTGTGAGGCAAGTACGAGTGGGAACGTTGCTCCTAGTTTAGAGCAGTATGCAAATGTTGGTCATCCCGGAAATGGGATGGAATTTGAGTCAAAGGAGGCTGTGTACTATTTCTACAGAGAATATGCTCGATCTGTGGGATTTGGTATCACAATAAAAGCTAGCCGTCGTTCAAAAAGATCGGGAAAGTTTATTGATGTCAAAATAGCATGTTCAAGATTTGGAACCAAGCGCGAGAAAAGCGCAGCTATAAACCCACGATCATGTCCAAAGACGGGCTGCAAAGCTGGTCTACACATGAAGAGAAAAGAAGATGAGAAATGGGTTATATATAATTTTGTAAAAGAACATAACCATGAGATATGTCCAGATGATTTTTATATTAGCATAAGGGGAAAGAACAAGCCTGCTGTTTCGCTAGCTAATCAAAAGAAAGGTCTTCAACTGGCTTTAGATAAGGGAGACTTAGAGTTATTGCTCGACCATTTTATGGACATGCAGGATAAGCAGCCTGGTTTTTTCTATGCAGTTGATTTCAACAGTGAAAATCATGTTAGAAATGTCTTTTGGCTTGATGCAAAGGCCAAGCATGACTATCGCAGCTTTTCTGATGTTGTTCTCTTTGACACATTTTATGTTAGGAGCAGATACAGAATCCCGTTTGCTCCTTTTATTGGGGTCAGCCATCACTGTCAATACGTGTTGCTGGGATGTGTTTTGATTGGGGAAGAGAGTGAGTCAACATACTCCTGGCTATTTCGAACGTGGCTTAAAGCAGTCAGTGGTCAAGCTCCTGGAGTGATGATAACAGATCAGGATAAGCTTCTCAGTGACATTGTTGTTGAGGTTCTTCCAACTGCTCGTCATTTTTTCTGCTTGTGGAATGTGCTGAGTAAGATTCCTGAGATGCTGAATCCTTTTTTGAGTGAAGATGATGGTTTTATGGAAAGTTTTTGGAATTGCGTGAACAGCTCTTGGATAGATGAACAGTTTGAAAGGAGGTGGTCAAATGTAATTAGTAAATTTGAACTTAACGAAAATGAGTGGGTACAGTTGTTGTTTAGAGATCGTAAAAAATGGGTGCCACTTTATTTTCATGGAATCTGTTTAGCTGGGCTGTCTGGACCTGAAAGACCTGGCAGTATCGCCTCTCATTTTGACAATTATATGAACGCAGAGGCTACTTTCAAGGACTTCTTTGAACTCTACAAGCAGTTTCTGCAATATCGATGTGAGGTTGAAGCAAAGATTGATCTGGAATCTCAGAGCAAACAGCCCACACTGCCTACTTTGGCTTTCGAGAAACAACTTTCTTTGATCTATACGGACGCTGCTTTTAAGAAGTTCCAAGCTGAGGTACTGGGCGTTGTTTCTTGTCAACCTCGAAAAGAAAGAGAAGATGGAACAACAGTTATATTTCGCGTCGAAGATTTTGAAGAACGGCAAAATTTATCTGTTGTTCTGAACAAAGAGTTGTTGAATGTGTATTGCTCTTGTCATTTATTCGAGTACCATGGATTCCTATGCAAACATGCTATACTTGTTCTACAAAACTCTGGTGTTTCCTGCATTCCATCTCAGTATATATTGAAACGTTGGTCAAAGAGATGTAACAACATAGAGGGTAAAAAAGAAAAATGTGTCTATATTCATAATCGAATGGCACGTTTCGATGATCTTTGTAGGCGCTTTGTTAAGTTGGGAGAAGTTGCGTCTTTATCAGATGAAGCCTACAAGACTGCTTTAAAGTTGTTGGAGGAAACCAAGAAGCATTGTGTTAATAATTCTCCCAAGTTTCCTTCAGAGCCAGACAAGTTAATGCCGGGTGTATGTGTATCTATTGGCTTAGAAAGTGAAGGTATGTTGGAAAGTACATCAAAATTGTCCAAGAAAAAGAAAATTCAGAAGAAAAGAAAGGTGGATTTAGATGGATTTCTATATTATGAGGCTCATAGTAGTTTGCTAGACCTAGCAGAAAGATCTGATGGATTATCGTGTGTTTAAAGGTTTACTGTAGGCCGGAGGATGCAACAAACAGGTCAGAAGAACTCCAGCAAGAAATCGTAAGTAAGCTGATTTGTGCCATGCTATTACATCTCCCATTTCTTAGCAATGAACTCATGGCATACTATTTGAATCAAAATAGATTTAGTGAGTACATGCATCTAAAGCAATTAAGGTGTAGGGTTTTCATGTGCAGGAGCAAGTTAGCTCCAGAGCTCCTGCGTTTGAGAATTGTTACATTCCTCAAGCAGATATGGAGGAGACCGAACAGGGCTCCAGTGCAACAAATCGTGGGGTGTATTATTCAAGTCAACAAACTATTCAAGGAGTAGGTGTAACTAATAATGTTTGTTGTTTAACAATTTGTATCTTACTGTTTTATTGAAAACTATGCACTGTTTTTGTTTTTTCTGGTAGTTCTCATCTGTTACTTCCATCCAGGATGGTTACTACGGACATCCGCCAACCATAAAAGCCATGGTGAAATACTTAATCTATTTCTCTTTTAGTGTCCAAGCTTTTGACATTGTCTGATGAGGTTTTTTGGAAGTTAAGATGAAGCACGAGACTGATGCTCATATATTTTGGGTGATTTAGGGAAGCATGTATTCACTTCATGGACGGATGAGTCAATATGAGACACAATCAAGCATCCAAGGAGCTGTGAGTTTATTTAAGTAATTTTTCGGAGATATATATCTTATGGTTCTCCTCCCCAAACTTTGTTCTAAGGAAGAAAGGTCTATTTTGTTTTGTGGATTGTCTAGTTTCAGGGACAGACAAGTTTCAGGGGAAGCGCTATTCGTGGCTGCTACGACATTGAAGAAACTCTGCACGACGACATGGTATGTATCCATACTCTTGTTTAAGGGATATGCCTTTGAAAAACCAGTTCACACAAGAAGTAGAGAAAACACTCTTAACCCCACCAAAAGAAAAGAAACTAACTACAAGGAAGCCAATTCCTCAAAAAAATTTTCTAGTGACAGCCCCAACATCTTTGTTCTTGGTTTATTAACAGTTTGATATCTAAGATTGAACCAAGACTACGAATTCCTCAGTTTACAGTAGAAATTGTAATGAGACCTTGTATAAGTGTTGCTTACTTGTTTTGCATGTTTTGTGCTGTTTGGGCAGACAATGGAGTCCTCACAGTTTCAGGGATCTGGTCAAAGCCATCCGAGTAATAGCCGTTTCTCCAACTAACAGAACAAGCTCAAGAGTTCCTCTTCATATCTTTTTAAAAAGTTGGAATGCTGTACAGAAATAGAAAAAGGTCTTAAACTGTAGAATTAGCTTTTGATTGAGGTTTCTCTTACTGTGATTGAAGTTGATTGTATTTTTTATACCGAGGAAGGTGAATATATATGAATCATGGGCCAACTTTTAGGATTTTAATTTAACAAAAAAACATTCATTTATGTAAAACAAAGAACAACTTTTAGGAGTTTAATCTTTGTTAAAGTTGAGAAAATGTAAAGATATTTCCGGGTATTGCAGAACATTTCTGTGTCTAATCCAATCTAACAAGTCAAGACAGATTATCTATCAAAGAAAACTAAACGAAATTTTCAACTTTGCAACACAAACACTAAGCTGCTTATAATGTTTCTAAACTAAATAAATAAAATTAAACGAAACATTTATAAATAAACAAAATAATTATAATAATGCGTATTCCCTAGAGGATATTCTTCGCCAAAAAAAAGGAAAAAAAAAAAAAAAGTTGGAGAAGAGGGAAGCGACTAGCACCTTTTTCTAGTTTTCCGTTTATTTTCTATAAGGCGGGTGATTTCGGGTCTTTTCATCGGAGAATATGAGCAACGTTACCGGCGATCGAACTGACGACGGCCTTTCCAACGCCGTCGCAGTCTCCGCCTCTACAGCTGTCCACAGCTCCCCTCCTACTGATCGTCCTGTCCGCGTCTACGCCGATGGGATCTACGATCTTTTCCACTTTGGTCACGCTCGATCTCTCGAGCAGGCCAAGAAATCGTTAGTATCTCTTATCTCTGGGATGTAGATTTCTTAATTTGCATCTCTGATTTTGTTTTTTTCTCTCCGGCTTGTGTTCAATTTTCGCCGTCTCAGTGTCATTTGTCTCCGATCTATTGAGTCTGGTTCATCGTAAGTTGTGTAGTTAGTGAAATCTTCGTTAGTAGATAGTCTCAATGATATATTACTGTAGTGTAAATGCTTCATTTGTTAGAATTTTGCAATAGCTGATGTTTCTGAACTCATCCTTCAGTTTTGATGAGGTAAAATGAATTTTGAGAGATGTGTATACCAACAATGGTTTCGTATTCTTATGGTGTGCTATGGGTTTGCCTTTTTTTGAGCAGGTTTCCAAACACTTATCTTCTTGTTGGATGTTGCAATGATGAAACTACCCATAAGTACAAGGGAAGAACTGTAATGACTGCAGAAGAGCGATATGAATCACTTAGGCATTGCAAGTAATTATTGTCTTCTCTTACGCTGTGTTGTATGTGTTAGTAAAATTCTTGGAAGCGGTAGCGACTGGATTTTGAGGACTCCGTTTGTTTTATCATACAGGTGGGTGGATGAAGTCATCCCAGATGCACCATGGGTGGTCAACCAGGAGTTTCTTGACAAACACCATATTGACTATGTAGCCCATGATGCTCTTCCGTAAGAACATGTGTCTTTTTTGCTAATCTCGATACTGATTACTATCTGCTTGTTGTTAGTTATGCTCTTTCTGTTGTTAGTTATGCTCTTTCTATATAGATGATCCTAGAACGACAGTAACCTTATTTGTATAAATACCATACACAGGTATGCCGATTCCAGTGGAGCTGGAAAGGATGTTTATGAATTTGTAAGTCTGGAGGATAATCATACTCCTGCTTTTGACACTTGTATAGGTCTGTTTTAACTAAGCATATGTTGCAGGTTAAGAAAGTTGGGAGGTTTAAGGAAACTATGAGAACTGAAGGGATATCAACCTCAGACATTATTATGAGAATAGTGAAAGACTACAACCAGTATGTCATGCGTAACTTGGATAGAGGATATTCAAGGGAAGATCTTGGAGTTAGCTTTGTCAAGGCATGATATCAGTTTCTTACCTCTTCATTTTTGTTGCTCTACTGCAATTTTTTCTCTTGGGGTAATCAATTTTGAGGTTGTTAATTTACTACAGGAAAAGAGACTTAGAGTTAATATGAAGCTAAAGAAACTCCAGGAGAGGGTGAAAGAACAACAAGAAAAAGTGGGAGAAAAGGCATGTCTTCTCTCAACTTCCATTTACTTAATTGATTATAATATGTCCATTGTTTTGACTGTATTGCATTCTATTAGATAACCTATTTATCATATTGTACAAGAAGAATAAACAAAATCTTAGGTCTCTTCACTGACAATTGAGTGACTGTGTGGAAACCACTCTTACTATGTCACGTTTGCAGTCCAAATTCTCGAAACTTGAATCTCGTTCAATCCGTGTAGGATTTTTATACTCGGTTTGGTAAGTAGCCTTAGGCAGAAAGCATGATGCGTGTTAATCCTTTCGAGTTTGAATTTTCAAAATACTAAAAGGAATTACTACTTTTTATGTATAGTAGCGATGCCTGGCAATATCAAGTTGTTAAAATAATTCCATCCCTGTAGTAGCAGCCTGATCATGTGTGGCTGCTTCTCTTGAAACCTCCGTGTAGCCTCATGCTTTAGCTAGTAATATGATCTTTGAAGACTATGTTCATGTGCTATATCCATCTTAACTGAACAAGCTGATCCCGCAGAAGTTTCTTATGATGTTTCAATTGCCTGTTCTTACTCATTCCTTTGTTGATTTCTAAACGCGGGTTTTACTCCAGATCCAAACTGTAAAAATGCTGCGTAACGAGTGGGTGGAAAATGCAGATCGTTGGGTAGCTGGATTTCTTGAAATATTTGAAGAAGGTTGCCACAAGATGGTAAGTTAAAATCATGAAGACACTATTAACTAAAACCACGTAGGTTAACAAGTTAAAACTTATGTTCTGTGTAACCTTTGATTAAAGTTGACAAATGTGTAAAATGTGAATAGGGAACTGCAATCGTAGACAGTATCCAGGAGAGGTTGATGCGACAAAAGTCTGTAGACATGCTCGAGAACGGTCAGGATGATGACACAGACGACCAGTTCTATGAAGAATACTTCGACCATGACATGGGTAGTGAGGACGACGAAGATGACAAATTCTATGATGAGGAAGAAGTAAAAGAAGAAGAGAAAGAGAAAACGGTTTAGACGGATGCAATAGACAACAAGTAAGAACAAATTTGGCATGCATAAACCGCAGGTTAGTTACTTATGGCCACTTCTACTAAGCTCCCTTAGCCTCTCACCCTCTCTCTCTATGGATCAGTGAAATGCATCTACTTAACATATAATATCAATGTTTAGAAAGAAAGAGAGAGAGTGTGTGATGTGTGTGTGTTTGTGTGTTGAACAAACGAACGTGCGTGGTTGTCTTTGGTGAGTTGTCTCATCTTTGTTGATTTTTTGAATACGCATGTTTTTTCATGTATTTTTTTCTTTTCTTCTTTTTATGATTGGCAAAGTGTTATGAAGTAACAATGCAATTGTCTGGGACAGGATAAGTCAATGATTCGTGTATGCCACAAAGTAAACATCGTGTATTCATATTCCAACTCGACTCGTTTGTTTTTTATTTTTCATTGATTTCGGTTCATTCCTTCTTTTAGAAAAGGAAAAATTTAACGGTTTTCAATTAACTTGTCAAGAAATTTGATTTCTAAGAGATTTTTACGGGTTAACTTTGGGTACTTGATTAGTAAAACAATGGGTAGAAACTAGAAAGTAAAAGTTTATCTCATCAACCGTACGTTAGTCATTTTTTCTGAAGAACAGAAACAAGTTTAAAATAGCGCGGACTAGTAAAAAAACTCTAAACAAGCATGAAGTATACTGTATCTCTTTCTGTTGTATTTCTCGTGAAATAAAATATCAACGCGTGCGACGATTGATACTCTACTGACCATTGATTTCAGTAAATTAAGTGTTACGCAGCTTTACAAAAAGACAATTATGTAGTAGAAAAATAGATATTCTACTACATATTATTACGCAGCTAAATTAATCGTTAAAATTTCGAAATTAATACATGACTGAAAACAATTGCTGCTGATCTGTGTAAATTCTTTTTTTTTTTAATGAATACTAAGGATAGTTAATTCCGATTTTTTCCTATAACACCTTCCCACTATTTTTATATATTAAAAATCCTATAACACCACTTTCAGTATTATAATTTTATAACTAGTGTGATTTCTGAAAATAGTCAGAACTCAGAAGTATAAACAAAGCAAGAACAACATGAAATATATCTTAAAAGTACAAACCAAAGTAGAAACCACCAATGTCCAAAAAAAAAAAGTAGAAACCATGTTCTGTTTCAAAAAAAAAAAAAAAAACCATGTTATCTCTTAAATCTGACTTTACCATCGTCGAGTTGCCGAGAAACTTTTTTAAGTAACAAATATAAAAGCAAGAAAACGTAAACGTCAACAATTTTAAAACACTATATTACTCAATTAGAAAAAGAAATTTACAATTTGGAACTTTGGATTCATACTTAGAGCTGAATGAATCGAATGTATCCAATGCGCACTAGACGACTAAAATTCCGACGAAATAAAAAAAAAATGCTTTTATAATACCAAGAAGATTTATATTTTCTTACTGTATAAATAATATCATAACATTTTAGAGTTTGGCTAGGTTAATTTATACAGTATACACACAGTATACTTCATGCTTGTGTGTATACACCATTACATGTTTGTATTCTCAAATGTTTTTTTAAAACTAATTTAAAATTTATCCAGACTGATATAACTTCAGAAGAGAGTACATATACTTAGTATAAAATGTTAGATTAAATTTTATAAATGTGCTAAAATGGTAAAATATTATAATATTAAAGTGTCTATTAGCGTTTTTGTTTAAATAGAGTGTGCAAAGATTTAAAGACATATTTTTTTTTTCTTTTTCTTTTGTGCAGAAAGCTTGTATATATGTGAATCTTTTAACTAGGAAAACTTAGGTTCATACATTTCTTTTCATATAAAGATGTATCATACAACTTTGATGTAGTCATGTAGATTGTGAGATTAAATGTTCACCAAAATTTTTGGTAAGTCATATATGCTAATACATATTAGGATAAGTATTGTGCATTTCAACTTGTGTAATAGGATTGTTAATTGATGTACTCAAAATCGTTAGTAAAGACAGAATTATAGAATAATATTGTAAAAGTTTATAAGTATAAAAAGTTACAACTACATAATAAAATAACAAAGTTGACAGATTTCGACAAAAAAAAAAAATATATATATATATATAATCAAGTATATTATGTAATATGATAACTTTTACATCAATTTTATTTGTATTAAGACTAATTAAACGTATATATAATTTATTGACGGAAAAAGTAAACTATACTAAACGAAAATGACAGGGTAATCTGTGTTTAGAAAGATGATGTGTATACATGATTGCGTTTACAATAGAAGAAAAACAGATGTATTAGAACATTAAGAATCATATAATAGAATTATAAGCATATGGAAGATGAAGAAAAATGAGTAATAATATCGACATATTAAGAGGTTGACTTGATATCTTAAAGCTCCATTACCATTATTTTTCTCGAGCTAAGAGAGGAGTCAACTCGATTGCTACTTACGTCCGTACTTTTTATGTCGACATTATTTCGCCATACTCTTTTTGGGTGGAAAAAAAAGAATTATTCTTTGTCTTTATTTCTTATTTTATCTTTATTCACACTTTAGTATTTTCTTTAGTTATTTAAAATAATCTCGTTAATTTAGGACGACGTGTCTGAAGGAAAGAAGACTCTGAACGATTCTAAAATTATTATTATTATTTTTATTTTTTTTGTTTGGGACATTCTAAATTATTTTCTAAAAAAACCCATTCCGTAAGGTAGAAACGATATTATTATTTTTCTGGTTTTTTTTTTTGGTTTCCATAATAGTCGCTCTCGACTACGTTTACGATAGGATCCCCTCGTTCTCCTTTGATCATTGAGAACGTATAATAATAATACTATGAATATATAAAATACCATTATATTATATTACAAGTAATAGATTTCCACTAAAACTTTAGTTCCACAAAAAAAGAAATATAAAATAATTAACTGTTGGTAAATTTTGTATTTGTCGTCAGATTGAATCATCCATGGTAAGCATCAACATAGTTTTTAAATTGTAGTTTGTTACAAGAAATCAGCTTAACTAGAGCAGATCCAAAACCTAGGTTTAAAATCGTATGTTTAATCCGTATAGTAAACACATGAATCCCAGTTTGGAATATTGATATGGTATTCGAGTGTTTAATTTTTATGCTCAAGTTAGAAAATATGACCACAAGACTTAGTTGGAGACCATTGATAATGTAAGAAGACAAGAGGACATTGGTTTCTTCTGCGTTCGGACTATGAAAAGTGGTACGCATAAAACAATCCACTTGTATTTAAGCTCTTTTCCATGGAAAAGGATAATGAAAGGATTTGAATTTTACTAACTGTTCAAAATTTTGGTAGGCGCTAAACATATATTTTATGTTGATCTAATACCACCTAGAAATCGAATGAGAGACGTGTATTTTGTAAAAAAAAAAAAATATATTTGGAACTGCGATTATTAAAAAATAATAATATCAATAAATGTATGTATCTATAGTGACATGACTCTAGTTTCAGTTATCGTGTTTTCTTTTGTTTTTCTTGTTAAAGAAGTTTTAATTATCTTCCTTTGGCGCGGACGAATCATCATATGTCGAAGACGCATCTCAAGCTCCACTGATTCACAAATGAGATTGTCCCGGTCACATCATTACAACGACCGCACCCGACCCGTTAAGCGTTGCAGGACAAAAGACCTATTTCCTTCAGTGTCCTGTCCAGACACTAGCTAGTAATATTATTAAATTATTAACTGCTTTACTAATTAGACAAACTGATTCGTTTATTCTTGACTTTAAGATCTGATTTTTCTCTCGTGGATCGTAAACTACGTTTTTTTATTTTTTGGCAAAATTGTATAATAAAAAAGGTTTAAACTCTCATTGTAAAGCTATTTAATTTGGTTGACAAAAAAAAAATTATTAAATTTTTATTTTCTAATTCGTGAAGAAAAACGGCTTACGAGATACAAAATCTCATTGAGTTGAAGATTTTATATTTTAAACTATAGCTCCATATTTTATGATGACAAACAGAACCATAAATATTAGCACATTTTAATATGATTCTAATATTCGTATATATATATAGACATTCAGATACTTCAACTCCATTTCCAAACCAAGCTTTTTTTCTTCATCATCAAGGATCCTAAACTTGTAAACCCTAATTGTCAAAAAAAGAGAGAATATGATGACGACTAAGAACTTGAAACTCTTACTCTTCTTCGTATCCATCTCTCTCCTCCTCATCGCGGTCGTCAACGCAGCCGAAGGCCATTCACATGGCGGACCGCAATGCGAATGCTCACACAAAGACGACGAAGAAAACAAAGCGGGAGCTCGAAAGTACAAGATCGCCGCAATTCCTTCCGTTCTAGTTGCCGGCGTACTCGGAGTTCTTTTCCCTTTGTTAGGCAAAGTCTTCCCTTCTTTGCGTCCCGAAACGTCTTTCTTCTTCCTCACGAAAGCTTTTGCCGCCGGAGTTATCCTAGCAACCGGATTTATGCACGTCTTACCCGAGGCTTACACGATGCTTAACTCACCTTGTCTCACGTCAGAAGCTTGGGAGTTTCCATTCACAGGGTTTATTGCCATGATCTCTGCTATCTTGACCCTGTCCGTCGATACATTTGCCACTTCGAGTTTCTATAAATCTCACTGCAAAGCGTCCAAGACGATCATTGATGGAGAATCTGGCGAGCCTTCCGTCGACTCCGTCAAAGTCCAAGTTCTCCGGACTAGAATTATTGCACAGGTTTGTTCAGCTCCACGTTTTGACAATCATAGCTTTTGCGGTTTCCTAGTTTAATACTTTTTAATTATTATGTTTCAAATATAACGTTTTGATTAGAGAAAAATAATTAAATTTGCAATATTCCATCTAGGCTGAAGTGATACTGCTTTCGTATCAAACATATATAATTGTGAATGGAAACACAAAAGTTACAAAAAGTTAACATTTTTGAAAGGTTGCGTCATGCGTGATAAAAAGAAACAAGATTATTGTGTTGTTTATGGTGGGAGAAAAACAACCGGATCCATACACACATCTTAAGAAAATTTTAATGCATGCATTCTCGACATTGATTATATTATCTTTTGTTCAAAAAATCCCCAAAAAAAAAAAAAAAAAAACCTACAACAAGTTCATGCATTTGTGAGAGTTTAGTTGTTGTTGGACGCGGGTTCATTAGATTCGGACGGCCATGTGAGATTTGATTCTCTAGAGAAACCATCACATGTTATCGAGTACCAAATTTTCCAAATAACAACTTTTCAAATTATTTAGTGGTTAGGTTTTAGTCTTTTATATACATATCAATAAATATATACACTAAACATTTAACTTACTAAAAGAAAAAAAAAGATAGTTAGTCCATTGAATTACATCGAAAATCCTAAAACTATGTCAAATGACGTATGCTTCTTTTTGCCGAAACCTGAAATAAAAAAAATGCAATGTGAAGTTTGACATTTACCTCTGAATTGATCAACAATTATTTGGATTTACGTCAAAAATCCTAAAACTTGATCACACATGACGTATGTTTTATTTTGGCCGAAATATGAAATAAAATATGGAATGTGAAGTTTGACATTTACCTCAGAGTTGATCTTATTCTTGTGTTTATATATTTGCACTCTAAAATAGGTGTTGGAGTTGGGAATAATAGTACACTCAGTGGTAATAGGAATATCACTCGGAGCTTCACAAAGCCCAGACGCTGCAAAAGCTCTCTTTATTGCATTAATGTTCCATCAGTGCTTCGAAGGCCTTGGCCTTGGTGGTTGTATTGCTCAGGTATATCTTTTTATCCAATAACTTTTTTGAACATAAAACAAACAACATTCTTGTGATTATAAATATAATAAACTAGCTAGCAAACATGTACTCATGATTTGGAATAAATGAGATGGACCATCATCTACAACTTGGAACACATGATGACATCCAGTTTCAATATTTCTTGTTATACAGGGAAAATTCAAGTGTTTGTCAGTAACAATAATGTCGACGTTCTTCGCCATAACGACACCAATAGGTATCGTTGTTGGTATGGGCATAGCTAATTCGTATGATGAGTCTTCACCAACGGCTCTGATCGTTCAAGGAGTATTGAACGCAGCATCAGCAGGTATTCTCATCTACATGTCTCTGGTCGACCTCCTCGCAGCAGATTTCATGCACCCTAAGATGCAATCCAATACTGGGCTTCAAATTATGGCCCATATTGCTCTCCTTCTTGGTGCTGGCCTCATGTCTCTATTGGCCAAATGGGCTTAATGATATTGTTCCTAATTATTCATCTCTTTCAGTTTTGTTCATATGGCCTTTAATGGCAATCGTGTGATTTGTTCTTTTTTTTTATTTTTCTACTCGTTCAATTTATATTTTTGAGATCTCTCTTTTCTGAAATCAGTTTTAATGTGTTAACATTTTTTCAATTATGTATAATTGATCCATGTCCCAGAAAAGTAATTAGCCTTGATTTGTTGCTTGTGTGATGATTTGAAATAATATACTATATATTTGTGTGCTATATATCTTATCTTTATCACATGCATATATATAACTTTATTATTTATTGAACAACTAATCAAAAACATACAAGATAGTTAATTTGATCATAATATTGAGAAGCTATTTCAGTAGATAAATTTCCTTTCTAATAGATTTTTAATTAATAGATTCATTGCCACAAACAGTTTGATAAACTTATAAATTTTTAACTCATTAACCTTATTTAATATCAAACATTGTATTAAACTTACAAAGTTTTAATTGATCCCACAAAGAAAACATACATTTAAGATATCCTCATCAAAAAATATTTCAGTTATAAAATCTTCACTATATAAAAAAAACCTAAATCAATTTGTTGCCACACCCAAGAACCACAAAAACTTAGATTTTTCTTTTTTTCTTTCTTGGTCTTTTTCAAAAGTTTGATATGATTTTCTCTCTATTATGTCATTGTTGCCGTTCAAATGTGGCAGATCGAGAGGAACCATCAACAATTGATCAGCGATTGCTGGTTCCCAACTCAGGGCAACGCTCGTTTGAAGATTCAACAAGGTGGCGACCATCTTTATATCCCATCTTGGAAGACGACGGAGAAAGTGAACTCTCAAAAGCTAAAGCCTCACATGAACGTGCTAAATCAAAAGCCAAAAAGATAGTTTCATTCTGCTACAAACTCAAAAGAGTCTGGTTAGTCCTCACGTATACATTTAGATGGTTAGACGAAAGCAAATCCATATTAGATTTCTTTCCGCACGAAAATTATGAATTGAGGACATATATAACATTTTTGAGATGATACATCCTTTTTAGATTATTTTTAATATCGAGAAAGGATCTATTGGGTGATTGGCTGGTTACATATGTTAATTCGATCGTGAACTTACATCTATACGTTGATCTAACTCTATAAAAATGGATCAAGCATGATGGTCTAGTTAAACTTTTCAAGAAAGAACGATTAATTATGTTAAATATGCAAATTAAGAATGATATATCCATGAAAAAAGCATTTTCCAAGTTTTTTTTTTTTTTTTGAGATTATAGACATATATTTTTGAATATAATTTGACTTTCTTTGCTAACCTTTAAATTTGTTCGAATACATTTTACAAAAAATGAAAATGATTAACCAACGAAAGCCAAGATCATATATAGACCTTATATATACGTTTGGAGAATACCATTTGGACTATAAAGAGAAACATACTATTCCAATAACCTTGGAAGATCTTTTCATTTCTACTATATGTTGATAAAACATGTTACTAAATATTTGTTTGATTTTTGTCTAATATATAGGAACATGGCAATGTCGACAGATATTAGAGCCTCCCCGGGGTTGTCTCCTTGTCAAGTCATGCGTCAAATTCTATAATTGTCTTTCCTCTTCTACAGCTCGATCGACATAAAATTGCATATAATGTAAACTGTTTGACCTTCCATTTTCTTAAATTCAAAGAAAAAGAATTGTCCATGTTCATGATGTTAACCATGTTTGAAGTAGAACTGCTGAAGAATGATGAAAATATTATTTGATTTTATTGACAGCAAACCAAAATAGTTTTTTTTGTTTTTTTTGTATGGGTTGTATGTACGTACGTTTCTCAACTCAGTATTATGGCTAGGGCTGAACCCGTGAGAAAATATTGACAGTAAATCACTTTATAACGTACTTGAGTTGTTTTTTTTTATAACATGAACTGAAGAAGAAATTAAATTAACCAAGTTTCTTTTGAACAATTAAAATTGACCCAATTCGATATAGGTTTTTAAAAGTGTCTTCCTATATTAAATTTGAAGGGTTTATATGTTTGATAAGATACTTTATAGATGATAATTATCATTTAAAAACTTGATCCATCCAAGGTTTTATAAGGCATGTCTAAGGTTTTAACAAAATTGTACTATATAAAGTTAGATGAGATACATATTTGATTAAATTTTAGATTTTGAGAGACATTTATGATAAAATTTTAAGGAAAAGACATATTTAAAAAGTAGTAATGGAAAATGTATTCTTTAAAGTTTTCCAAGATTTTTAACTCTCAAGAGTAAGTATAACCTGATCACATTCAGAAAAAAAAAAGTTTGAGCTTAAAAATCCTGATATATATATCAACCATGCATTACCCATTCGGGAATCTCGACTCATGTTCTTTGTTATTTATTTTCCTATTATTCTCATCAATTACAGCTCTTCTCAATCATAAATTTATCATTTTTGACATTTAAGTTAACTATTATATATAGAGAGATAAAACTAATTTAAAACATAAAACTAATGTAAAAACATTAAATGTAAATGGTAAGCCATAACTATATTTTCTATAAAAATATTTTTCTTACAATATTAACCCATTGTAAATTACAGATATAGTTTAACCTTTTATACCATGTATTTTTTATTTTGACAGCACAAATATTTTTTTTTATACCATTTATATGATAAAATATATATATATATATACATGTAGATAAATGTCTAAAATTCCTAACACCAATAATAAAATTTGAAGTAATCGAGTTTAAAATGAGTTTCTCTGTACTCTGTCGATGTTGCGGTTCCATCGCCGCCGTGGGTGACGAGTCATCGGTTGGCGAGCCATCGACTGACGAGCCATCGGTTGGGCAGCCATCGCGGCCGGTGCCTGGAACAAGAGAGCCCAGAAGGTGGAGGCCATCTTTACCTCCGATACTGGAAGGTGACGAAACCGAGAGTGACGACCACTTATATGCTTGGGTACGGTCTTTAAAACAACTACTGATGAAGAGATTCCGCTAATTACTGAGTGGTAAGACAACTGCTTTCCTCTGTCTGAGAGTTTTCACATTTAAAGTTTGGTCTGGAATCATGTTCTTATGATCATGCTCAAGCATCTTCGAGGAATTGTCACTTATATATAAACCTCAAATTTTGTCATCTACACACTTTGTTCATATGATTAATAATAAGTAGGGGATGAGTGATATGTGTGTGTGTGTTTGTTTTGTTAGGTTGGAACCTTAAGTGACGGATGGGGCATCGACTCTTTTTGTTGTCCTTTTATATATCTATCGGTTGTCTCTCTAATTTTCTTCTCTTTTGTCAAAGCGGATTAAAATGGTGTGTTGTAATTGTATGTGAGCAATGTTTACAGCTGGAAAAACCATTTGTAATAAATTTGGATATGTCGTCCTTTACATGTCTTTCTTTCTTGCAAAACCAACATTGTGACTTTAGTCTTTCTTCCAAAACCTAGTTCTTGATATTTACCTCCAAGGATCATCATAACCTCTTTCGCTGGCCTTCCCCATCATGTTTAATCCATCTGCCTGAATCTTATGAGGCAATATACTCTTAGTCTCATCAGACAACTTCCATTTCCTTAAATCTTGCTGCAACAATGACTTCATCTAAGCTATAATATAAGAGTCTCTACCGTATTTAAGAGTTTCAGTATAATGAATGGATCAAACTTGTGTGGCAATGAGCTTTTGAGAAGGATGGCGCTTGCAGCTTTGAATATAGTTTACACAAAGATTGCTTAGAGATCTTCTACCGATTTCAGAAAATATAATCATCAATGGTTTACATCAATTAACTTTGATATTTTCCATCTCAAATGTATAGAATCACTTGCGTTGCAGATAGATAGGATCTTGACATTTACAATCTTGTCAAAGTAGATCACTTCGAGATTGCAGTTTTGCTATTAATGATCTTCCGCAATACCTAATCACAAACATTCAAGAATATCAAGTTATTTGTCTTCCCATATTTCTATTCTCTTACAGGGTTAACTGAGACTAACGTTTGTGTCGTTTTTATGTGTTTCACCAAAGTGTGGCTGGCTTGTTCAGTCTTGGACATTGATTGTGTCTTTGGCATCCATATATAGCCACAGAGACAAATCGTCATTCCATATATCCACATTGATCTGAGCATTTTCTTCATTCAATTTGAGACATGGGACTCCCATGATGGGAGATATGCATGATACCACTTACTTCGATTCTTACATCAATTTGCAACCTAATACAAAGCTTGAGTTCATCAAACACAATCGTAACCGACCAGATCAACAAAGATGGAACAACTCGTGCTCAAGAACATAGAATAACAGAAAATGCCGTAGATGGTTAGATAAAACCACTAGTCAGTTAAGGATAAGGATAGATCCTAGTGTAGGCCACATCAAATATCTTTTAAGGACAAGAACATAGAATAATAGAGAAGAGAAGAAGAACTCACTAAATTACGAGTTAATTAAGATCAATCGGTGTGACTGATCCTGTACGTCTTGGCCATAACGGAAATCATCTTAGCTTTACAAGTTCATCAAAGAACTCCATAACCCCTGAGGTTCATGTATGGCGGCTAAAAAATCTACCGTACAAGATAGCAACATGAACACGTCTTTATGCTATTAGTCCATAATGACCTAATTTTCAACCAAACCCGGTTCAGTCGTTAGTTGGTTCAATGTCACACAAGTATTACTTAACCGTGATATCCTATCTACAACTTAACCATTAGAAAAATTTCGGACTTTTAAAAAATATGTTAAACTATGTCATTATTGAATGTTCGTTCACATGACAAAATGATCTTCTCATGTTCATGGTGAATGCGATGCTAAACATATCTTATAATCATGTACTGTTTGATATTGTAAATCGCAGACTTTATATTTTACATGCCCTACATCTTTAGACTATCAATTCTTTCGAGTTCCGACTAACTATTTGTTTAGTACTAAAGTTTTTCCCATTTTGTCATATTAACTAATGTTGATATAGGCAATATATATTCTCTACATAAATTATACTATGGAGTTAAGGAACATTAATTTTGATTCTTTAACAGAGAAGTGAAGACACTGGCCATGCTTGGATGGGTTGTATTATGCCCTACTTTTCTTCCTCCACACTACAAAGAATCCAACCATGTTTACCCAAAACCATATCAAATAAATAAAAAGAAACTACAGAAACTAGTATTTTATTATTCATTCGAAGCAAAGATTAATTTAACAAATCGATCAGGTTTTATCTAGAGGAAACTGGACAAAGGGAAGCTTTATTGGCTTGGGGGATGCTAAAGTGCCACATGCATATCCCAGCTAATCCTATTCCCTATTTCTTCCATCTTTTACTTTATCTATTGTTTAATTAGTCACCCATAATCCTTTACAGGGGTGGTATATTTTCGGAGAATTCACTAGATTCTATCTACATCAATATCAAACTGTAATAGCTTTAAATTATGTCTTTGCTAAAAGCATACTTCTATATCAAACAATCGTTTATATTAAATGTAAAAAATATAGCTTTATGTCTTTTCACGATAATCAATTATGGTAATCGAAACTGGAGATAGATATGCTTTCGGTAGACAGTTTAACTTTTTTTTTTCTAGAAAATTATAGAATAATTAATTTAGATTTTGTGGATTAACCATTATTATTTATAATTTATAAATTCATTATTCTATAATTTTCTAGAAAAAAATTACATTAAATTTTTCCAAAAAAAAATTGATATGCTCTGGGTCGATTATCATGTAATTTTTTTTTTGGAAAATTTTAATGTAATTTATATATTACAATCTTGTTGATTATAAAACGTTATAGGTCTTATTTTCTACTTTAACTAAAAGAAATGAGTTAACGAAAAAACCATACTAAACTATACAAATATCCTACAAGAGAAATATCTTTTTCTTTCATTTTCATTTTCTACTTTTTTGTTCTTCTATCTTTTTCTTTCTCTCTCTGTTTTTCTTCCACACCCTCATAACTTTACTCACGACTTCTTTATATATAAACCCATTTAGTCACAAAAGATCATTACTCATTAGACTTTTCCACTACCCCAATTCTCTTTTCCTCTTCAACCAACATTCTCCCCCTCAGAAAGAAGCTTCTCCTCCTCCTTATCTTACTTCACATTTTAAAAACTTAATATCCTCAAAGTGTCTCCATTAAAAGAGAGTTAGAAATGACGAAGATTGGAGGCATTCTTCTTTGTTTAGTCATTGTGGGCTTGGATGTAGCTGCTGCAATCCTTGGAATCCAAGCTGAAGTCGCCCAAAATCAGGTATTATATACACATAACTCTATCAAATTAAATGATTTTTTTACCCCCAATCAAATTAAATGATAGAAGTATAGAACCGTCTCAAAATGTTTACAAGTCATGGGTTATATTTATTTGTCAAAGAAATTCGGACTTCTTGCATATGCTAAAAAGAGTATGGTGTTGCATATGTGGATGTCAGGTGAAGCACATGAGGCTATGGTTATTTGAGTGCAGAGAACCGAGCCAAGACGCGTTTAGGCTCGGTCTTGGTGCAGCCGCGATATTGGTAGTGGCTCATGTCCTACTCAACTTGGTCGGAGGCTGTCTCTGTATTTGCTCTCAAGACGAGTTTCAAAGATCTTCTTCCACTAGGCAAATCTCTATGGTTTGTCTCGTCCTCACTTGGTACGTTAACACTAACAAAAATTAAAATCTTCTTTGGCTTTAGTAAATATTCTATGGTCCGTCCGAGCTAGTAATAATATCGACAAGTGAAACGTTCTTGATTGGATGGTGTTGTTGTAAACCACAGGATCGTATTCGCCGTAGGATTCGGGAGTATAGTGATCGGGACGATGGCGAACAACAAGTCAAGAACCTCTTGTGGGTTCACACATCACCATTTCCTCTCCATTGGAGGGATTTTGTGTTTTCTTCATGCCCTCTTCTGCGTCGCTTATTACGTCTCTGCCACTGCGGCCAAAGACGAAGCTGCCAAGTGAAGACAAAGCGGCACGATAAACGATGGAACACACAGGTGGGTCCTTGTCCTTGACTATATATATTCTCCAATTAATAGTAATTTGTTTACTATGTTGTAATCATTTAACCTAATTTCGATTTTTATTTTGAATTCGTTTCACTTGTTTCCAAGTCACTTTTTGTAATTTGGAGAGCTGTGTCATTTTGAAAGAAAAGATGAAAAGCTTTTATGTCACGCTCTGCTGTCGCATGTGGGGTTGTATTGCACTAATGATAATGACATTTGGTGGAATCTCGTCTTTGCTTCGGTTCTTGAAATTAACTCAGTGCTCTCGTTCTCTCTCTCTCTTTCACACCCAACACATACACCAATGTGAGTCTTTGTCACGGGAAATTTTAAAGGTTATCAAAACTTGAGCTAGAGAAATAGAATAATAGTAATACAGAAAGAGTATCAAATGACACTAATGCATGCAGTAGAGAAGCCCACAAACGTATTTACTAAAAGGAAGAAGCTCTCTGACCTAGCTAAAATCTTATTAAAAGCTAATATATATTTTTTGAAAATTTTATCTATTGTGTGTTATAGGAAACGAATGCTTCAAACTTACGTCATTAGGATGAAATATAATATATTTACTCTTGTATTTATCTCAAATTTTCATGTTTATGATATTTACTCGTACATATTTATTTTATATTTACATGTTTATCTCAGAAATATTATAAGACTACAGATTTTTCCCTTAAGCATGGTCTAGGACTTCTTCCTCAAGAATGTGTTTCGCAGTAGAGACAATACACTTTCAAAGGGTCTAATACTCATGTCTGTCTCTTCCAGCCATGGAAATGGATCAATCGGTTCTGTTTCTCCCATTAACGTCTCCACTGATTCATCGTTTCTCGATCTCTCCAATGGAAGCAGCTCGTGACTGTACATTTCAGGCTCTGAACAATACTCCTGAAACATAAATTAACAAAACGCACTTCAAGAAAATGTGAAAGAATGTTGATACAAGGACAGTTCTCTAAGAGGGCTTTTTTGATTGCTTACTTGGTTAGCGTGCATTCGTTTCAAGAACATTTTAAACGTTGAGAAATTCGGTTCGCTGAGAAGCTTATCAGATAACCGGAGATATGTAAACCCGAACATCCTCGGTTTACCATCTCGGTTAATACCATTAGGCCTTGCGTTTAGTATAATCTGGTTATATCCATCTCTATCGAATCTTGGAAGCGCGTTTTCGCCTGCAACTTCAATCCCTTCTCTCCATCCAGAGCTCAAAACCTTCAAAGGCAAACCATTCAATCTAAGTAACATATATACAAAAGAGTGTTATTTACAGTTTCAACTTGCTTACTTGCTGAACAAGTTCTTGAGGTCCACTCTTAGCTTTTGCTGGCTGCTCTGTGTTTTTCATCTCTAGACAAGTGAAGTTCAAGATAGCATGATGTCTCCGCATTATTTTCGCAATTGCACGATAACCATCTCTATTGTTGAGATTGTAATAACCAGCCGTAAGTTCTGCAGCATGACTTTCAGTTTTGTACCACCAATGGATTCCAGAGACCTAAAAAACCAGGACGACACAAAAAAGAAAACCCTATAAATCTTGATCATGTTTCTAATGCAATAACATATAACCTACAAGATTTGATTTACCTTTGCTGCTAACTTCAGTTTACACCCAAGAAACACTTTATTAGCTTCATCAAGAATCTGGTCACCATGGAGAAGTAACTTTCTGGAGTACCATGACAAGAAAAATTTTCCTTCTTCCTTAAGGTAAGTCCCATTCGAGTACTCGAAAAACTCGGTTTCTTCTGGAATATTGTTGTATTCGCCTGCGTTTTCTGGAAGTTCCCATTCCGGATGCCCGATTCTTCTAACTTCTTCTTCATAGTCTGATCTAAGATACTTGTCATAACACTGAGATTGAAAAGACCAAACAGCATAAACTTATAAAGCTCTGTTTTTACTTTCCAAACCCTAAAGAAACTAGGATTAGCCTCATTTGGTTTTTCTTACTTGAAATTCTCCAATTCCTGGAAAAACCCATCCTTGAGTCTCACTGTAAGAAGGATATCTAAGCTCTCCAGCAGGACCTAGCCCTACTTCAATGTCTATTATGACTCCAGAGCTAATGAAATCTTCCATGTTCTCTCTAAAGCTCTTCATGTAGTCTCTGTACATCTAGAAACAGAGCAGATATTATACAAACTCAATTTTCCTAAGGTTCTGAATTCATGAGTTTTTAATACCTCAACCGCTGTTCTTCCTCTGAATAGAGACAAGTTATCTACAGAAAGAGACAAACACTCTTTGTTTCTATTACCAGTCTTGTTCGTATAGAAGATATCTGGATTCGAATCTCCGATTTCGAGCACCCATTTCGGTATCGGGATGTTAACATCATCTCCTATGTTCCCCCCACATCTATGAAACGACATTATAGCTTGTACTTTCAGTCCAAGGCTTTGTACGATCTCAAACAAGTTTCTGTAAGCACTCCACTGGTATTGCTTTGGACCTTCTGATTCAACGATCCCCCACCACACATCAACCATCACTCCATCTACTTGACTCTGTTTCAGTTTCTTGAGCTGTTTCTTGAGTTTCTTTTCGTTTTCAAGAACGTTATCGTTTGTGATGACTCCAAGCTGAAGCATGACGTATACAGGAACATAGTTGGCCAACAATTTTTCCTCATACGCTGTCGTATTGAACTCCGTCGACTGTGTTTTCAAGCTTGTAAGGATTCAAAACACACAAAACTAGATAGACTTAAAAAAAAAAAAAAAAAAAAAAAAAAAAAAAAAACTAGATAGACTTAGAAAAGCCTCAAAGAGTTTTTTTTATTACTAACCTTTGGTTCTGTTGTAGAAGAAGCAGTAGCTTGAGGCGTTCCTAAAGATCTCTCCTGGATTGAGAATCTCCATTGGACTCGTTTTTTGCTTTCTTCATTTTTTACAAAAATCGAAGATCCTTTGTGGAGATTTCTTCCGTTGATGAAATTAGGGTTCATCAACCCTAAGACGCTCATGGTACCTTGGAATCGAAGGAACTACACAAATCCTTTTACTGGAATCATTATATGATCAAACACAACTGTTTTGTTTTATATATTTTTTTTTTTCTGTTAGATTTAATTTGCAATATTTCTGGCGCGTTCTTATGCTATCAACAAAACGTGGTCATGATTTTCTTGCCGTTTCAATTTTTTTTTTTTTTTTTTGGTATTTTTGGTTTATAGTCACGTTTCTATTCCTTATTTTGTAATTTCCCTGAAAATAGAGGAATGATCATATCTAATAAATATCTATGTGATATTTTTTTCATTTGCTTATGACCTTATAATATGACTATCTCATACCAATATTTAATCTGTATAATTTCAAGATCATGTTGTTTTATTTAAACTTCATATAAAGGGAAAAAAATCAGAAGTAAGATTTTTTTTGTTAAAGATTCAACACACTAAACTGAAGAAAACAAATTAAAATTAAAGGTACAAAAACTAAGATTTTGAAGAAGCATATTGTAAAAGTTCGTTACAAGAAATAAAGCAATTTACTGATTAGAACCCACAACATAATTCTTCTAATGATTCCATCAACACATGTACAGCAAGACCCTTCAAACACAAGTGAACCTATTTTACCATTTGTGCTTGACCCAATACTGTAATGAAAGGTTTCATTGCTTTAATAAATCTGACTGAACTTCTCTGACCTAACATCAAAGCAAACGACCATCAATGCATATCTTTATTGATCGATTGATAAACCATCAATGCATAGCTCACTATATCCATGGGATAATAGGATATGCAACATTCGATCATCCTTCTCCATGTCCAGTGTCGTACCTAATCAATCTTTCAATTCCACATAATATACCTTAGGGTGTTTAATTTCTAGTCTAATCAAGAAGGAAATTTTCGAATTAAATACAATCTAAACAAGAAGCAAATATTATAATCTCAGACCGAACTCAATACATTGCTCACTATAAAGAGTAAACAAATGAAAATAGTCATACAATAAGATAAGGACAGTTATAAAATAATGCAAGAACCAGACTAGAACATTTATGTCAATTTATAGAAGTCCTAAACTAGAACATTTGCATAAGCTTCATGTCCTCTACATAGTCTAAGAAGGTGAGAAGTTGACGATGATACTTAATCGCTTCCATTCCTTGGATATGAAGTTTCACAGCTGCCATTTTCTCGGTGTTATAGTAGATAACGTGGAAAGGCGCCCCAGTGAAATAGGACGGCGACAACACAATTTCATTTGTGAGGGTCACTCCAACCAAGCTAAAATATTCTGGTCCAACTATATTTGGCCACCAAGCGGGTAATACGTATGTATACTCCCACCATTCATGCTCTTCGGCATCTGCTACAACATACAACGTAATACTTTTACTTTTTCTACAAACCGAGCTAGACCCTTCAGACACAAGTAAACCTACTTTACCATTGTAGTTAATTAGAGTTCCGGAACGGAAGTTATCCAGGCCTTCAATAAATCTGAACTTCTCGGACCTAACATCAAAGCAAACGACCATGGAATCCTCTGAATACATATTGTCAGCAGCTTTGTAATACAAAACACCATTGATGCATATCCCATTATTATCTAAAGTAAAATGGGGTCTGCTACATTCTATCATTCTCCATGAAGGTTCTCTAGTTCCTAATGTTAGAACTTGATGCTCCTCAAAACTGATGTTTCTTCCACCAACTAACCACGACATGGACAATACCTTGAATAGTTTCTCAACAGGATCATACCCTAAATAGCTATGCAGCCCAACCCTCCTCATTGTCTTCATTTTCGGCAAAACTAAAGATTGTCCGGTGCTAGGGTTAAATATGACCAGCTCCAACAATGGATTTTGCCTCCCCTTTAAGTTCCGCCCAGTTCTAAGACAGAACAAGCCATTGATAGGACTAATATTAGTATAGCGATGATCAAAGCGAACACTCATATGATAAGTGGCTGTTACAGCAGGCAAGTTCTCATCTGGAATATTTTGAGGCTGAGGCGACGAGAAGAACCACATCTTATCGTAGTCTTTCAAGGCGAACAAGATCTGTGGGCGAGCCGAAGATTTCTTCAAGAATAACTCCGTGAAATGGGCAAGTCCAAGTATGGAGGACCACACCTTCGATACGCAACGACATCTCGCTATAGATTTCGACGGCAATCTCAAAAGTATCTCGATGATGAGATCAGCATGGAGCGGCCCTGAGCTGTCTCTTCCATCCATTTGATCGTCGTATTGCGTCGGAAAATGATTAGGGCTTATCCTCCTCTTGCCGTCTTGGATACAGTAAGTTCAGAACCCTACAAATACTCTTCTACCCTTCCACGATTGTACGAGGCCAACCTTGAGAAAGAGTAAGGCCCTAAAGTTTATCTTAATGGGCTGGGCTGAGACGTAGTCCAACATCCATGTATGGAACTCTGTTTTTTCCAATTCATTCATCACGGTCAAAGATTCGTGCCCATTTTGTTACTTTGTATATAGTTACGTTTTCTGATCTTGTAATTTCCCCGAGAACAGAGGAATATATGACCATCGGTATTAGTATTTTTTCAGTGTTCTTCAATTGTATTTTTTTTATTTTTATATATCAGTGTATTCAAACCCAGACATAAGTGGCAGGCAAGTCGTAACAGTTAAACCAGCACCCAACTATTTTATCCAGATAAGTATACTCTCATTAAAGATCCCATAAGAGTTGAACAAAAAAAAAAAGATCCCATAAGAATTGTTGAGAACGAAATAGAAAAACTAGCTAGCTTTGTTACAAAATCTTAAACTAAAACGCTAGCCCAAGATTAACGTTTTCTACATGGTCTAAAAAGATGTGAACCATACGATTCTTAAGCGATTCAAATCCATCGATTCCAACTCTTACGATCGTCTTCCTCTCCAGATTGCAGTAAATAACACATGAATGCATCATACGTTCAAAGAAGAACACAATCTCATTTGTTCGAGTCACTCCAACAAAGCGTGAGCAGGAAGTTCCCACTATATCTTTCCACAAAGGGGGAAACACGTATGCATGCTCCGACCATACTTGCTTTTCAATCTCTTCTAAAACCCACAACTCAAGGCTTCCATCAACAAACCAAGAACCCTCACACACAAGTAAACCTAATTTACCATTGTAGTTGATCATATGTCCATCACGCACTGCTCTATAAACAGCTCCCACGACTGTAATAGACTTAAAAGTTTCAGACCTTACATCAAAGCAAACTATCATATTAACCACTGAAGACCTATTAGTAGCTGGATAATACAAAACACCATCGATGCATATATGTTTATGTGGTAAATCATGTGGTATGCAACATTCGATCATCCTCCAAGAAAGTTTTGGAGTCCCTAAAGTAAGGATTTGATGCTCACCACACACGACTTGGTTGCCAAGTGTTAGCCAGGTCATGGACAGTACCTTGTATTTTTTATCAACTGGATCATATCCCAAATAGCTTACCACAGTAACTCTCTTTGTCCTCACTTTAGGTAAAGGTAAGGACTGACCGGTGCTAGGGTTACATATCACCTGCACCTTTTCCGTTTTTCCCTTTGGGATCCGCGTATTATAAATGAGACAGACCAAGCCATGAACAATACCATTCATTTCATAAACAGGACCATCAACGGAGAGCTTCATATGATAATCAGCGACTATGGGAGACGAGTTCTCATCGGGATTTCGAGGCTGAGGCGAGGAGAAGAAGAACAACTTGCCGTGTTTTTGGCAGGCGAACAATAGCTGCGGGCGAGCCGAAGATGTGGTCAAGAACAACTCAGTGAAATAGGGAAGGCGAAGCGTGGAGTCACATAGCTTCGATAGGCAGCGACATCTAGCTATAGATTTCGCCGGCAGCCTCGCCAATATCTCGATAATTAGATCAACTGGGTCTGCAATGAGTTTTCTCTCGTTGTCTGGTCGTGTATTGCGTCGGGTGATGGTGAGAGGATTCTCAGAAACGGTTTGCCGTCGTGTTTTCATGGGGGGCACGGCGGGACTTGGGCTCTTCTCTTTCACGATTTCAAAGGGGAAGAGTGACAAAAAAGAAAACCTGAAATTTATTTGTAAAATAGTAAAAACTGATTTGTGACGAATGGGCTGAGAAAAAGCCCATGTAGCCTAAGATTAGGGCTCAAATATTACAAATGAAATTATATATTAATCTTCTTTTTTTCATGTAGATTAGGTGTATATTTATATAAATTGGTATAATTTGCCTCTTACTCGCTTTTTCTACTCTCATATAAGTGTGCCTTCACGAATACAATAATCACTTGCGATGATTTTTTTCGAAAAGTATTTTCTGCATGATTTTGTTTTATATTGATCATCACCTACATATGTTGGTGGTATAGCTGAGTATGAGTTCATTTGATCATGACAGTAAAAATATGAAGCATGTTGGTTTGTTGATGACGACAACTATTTTATCCAGATAAGAGTTAACTTATTATTTATTTATATATATATATATATATATATATATTTGGAAAACTTATTATTTTTATATGTGTTTTACAAATTTCCAACCATCAAATTGTTTATTTGAACTACTAATTTTAACAATCAAAGAAGAAATATATATATTTTAAACAAAATATTATACTATTTTTGAATTAAACTTTTATTTACATAATTTTTCAAGTACTTTTAAACAAATACTTGATGTATTGAATATCCGGCAAATAACGGATATTTAAACAGCCAGATATTCGATCATTAACGAACCAAACACAAATCGGAAAACTAACTATTCGGCCAAAGCAAAGCGGATCACAAATACCACTAAAATTCTGGATATCCACTCCGTGCCCACCATGTGCATATAATCCATAGTGAAACTCTTGTATATCATAATATCCATCATTCATATTTTTATATTCCTTCCAAATAATCTCTTTCTCCTTTTTTTCTTAACTAGTTCTCGCAAACGGTAAAACAATATAAAATTTCAGTAGATATAAAAGGTAGCAAATCGCAGTGTGAGAAAACTCAAAACACTATGCTTCTTCATCTTTTCACCAAATGTAAAGATAATGTCCGTTTACGTTTTTTATTTCATGACAGATTAGAGTATTAAATTAAAATAAACCACTTCTATCGGGTGGTAATTGTTAATTATAGTTAAGTGTTATGATCACTATTTTTTCAAATATTGTTGATCCCTTCAGTGAAGTCATTTGTAGTTGTACAATATTCCTTTGTTCCAAATTATAAGAATTTTTAGCATTTTTAATTTGTTCCATTTTATTAGTTCTTTTTTCAAAATTTTATGCATCATTTTTTTTAATTTAATTGTTTATGACTATTTTAATTTTGTAGTATTTTTTCTATTGGCTGAATTTTAATAAATGATATCAATTTTTAGTATTTTTCTATTTGCTTTTAACCAAACATCTTATGAAATGAAATAGTGGGAGTAATAACCAAAAAGAAAGGCATTACAGACGAAATTATCTCATCCGATCGGCTTTTTTTTAGACAAAACTTGTAGCATTATACTTTATTTCATTAAAATCATATTTTCAAATGGAATTGGAATAGACCCAAACCACTCAACGATAGATACTTTTTTTTTTCTGTTTATACTTTATATTGTTTAATTATCTACGATTGTAACCATGTAATATATTTGAGAATAAACGGATAATATACTTACAAGGCAAATACTAAATACACAAAAGAGCACCAAAAAAAGCAACAACAACACACGGTCTCATCATATACAAACATAAGAAATTAAACACAAACGACATTTCCCTCCGCAAACAAATCTCTCTTCACTTAAGAATAAACGCTTAGAACAAATGAAGCATCATAGCGACCATGAATCCAAAGAATCCGGAAACAAGTGTTTTCGCTGCGGAGGAGGAGTCAGCTGGAGTAGCGCCCGCGCCAGCAATATCAGCCGTGGTGCCAGTTGTACTAGAAGGAAAAGTCCCAACGGTTTTGGTGGATGTGGTGCTAGAGCTACCTGGTGAGCCGGGGAACAAGGGAAGAGACGACCCCGCTGCAGCTGCCGGAGATAGTGCTGGTGAAAGTGCCGGAATGAGAGGCAGAGAGGAGGAAGGAAGTGGAGTAGAAGAAGATGGAGAGAGAACGGGGACGGGGTTAAGAGGCAACAGAGGTTGAATTGGTAGAACAGAAGAAGGTGAAGGCGCGTTTAGAGATGGGACAGTGTTTGGAAGCGGTGCGGTTGGTGCTGCCGTTGCGGCTGCGGTTGGTACAACGTTTACCTCGAGTTTCATCCCTTGGCTACAATGTCCTGGCATCCCACAAATGAAGTACCTAGACAAATTGATCGAGAGTTTATATATATATATATAAATATTGCTATAACATATAAAAATATATCATATGGTCTTGATTTGTATGTAAGCGTATTTAACCTTTTTCCAGGAGTGGTGAGAGGAACAATGGAGTTTCCATTAGCAAACGTTATAAGCGGTTTAACAGCTTGACAACTATCGAACTCGGGTTTGGTGACTTCAACTACATCGTGGAATGCAGCAGGGTAGGAGAAAACTGTTTGAAGCAAAAACAGAGTTTTTGGTTTTTAGTCCTTAGATGTTGAAATAAAAGTTTAACGTAAAGATATGTGATCAATTACCAAGATTGTCTCCGACAGCAAATGTTTGTGCTGCAGCCCAACTTCGAAGACTAGCTCCTACCGTCCAACCACTAGGACCACCTATTGTATGGTCTGTAGCTACTGTTAAACCGATGAATGTAGTGGCGAGGACCGTGAATATGATCAGCATATCTCTGGATGCCATTATCTTCTTCTCTCTTTTTTTTTTTTGGGATGAAAGTAACAAGAGAATTGAAAGAATAAGAGATGATGATGATTGGTGATTCACATTGGGTGTCAAATGTGTGTATATATAGTGGTTAAAGAAAGATAAATGATTGAGAAGAATCTTTTGTGATAAGAGTTGGTAAATAATAAACTTGTGTTTGTATCTGTTGAGAGTTAGTATTTATGTTGGATCAAGTGAAGAACTAATAATAGATCAAGTAAGCTAATTTTTTTTCGTTTTACCTAATCCACTACAAACCAGACAATGTTCATGGTGCTACACTTGTCTAAAACCAGTTTAGTTGCACCTAAAGCAAGAGGTAAATTTATAAAGCATTAAATGAACTTGCTTTACATTAGAACAGGTGAAGTTTATATTAACCCAAGAGAAATGGTCTAAGACAATTACACATCTTCCTGTACATTATAGAGCCAGTGTAGTCTCTGTTCTCTCTCTCTGTAATGGAAGTTACAAGTTACAGTATAAGTAACAGAGTATTTTGTATGTGTTGTTATTCAAAACTTTTCAGAACTTAGCACAAAAACAACAAGAACGTTGCGATTTTTATACACCGGAGCTGTGACTATGAGCGAGTAATTTCTCCTGTTCGCTGTTGATATCGTTTTGGAGTGAAAGAGGATTAGACTGATGAGAAGTATGCTTGGGATTGTTGATTTTGTACCACACATTCTCTATACGGAAAAACGCCCACTGGAATCGCCTGTAAATCTCCAAAGCAGTGATGATGAACACAGTGATGTAGTTGTTACGGAGATGAGCTGATAACTTGTACGTCCATGTCCACCTTAGTATCAGATTGCTTCCGATTACCCAAACATATACCTGAAAAACCGTAAAACCAAGATGATTCACACATTTAGCTAGTTGTAGATATCATGCAGTGTGGCTGAACGATTTAATGAAAACAAGAAGCTATATATTACCCAACGGCGTCCATAGAGTAGATGGGAGAAAAGATTTGGTCTGCTAAATTTGAAAATCCGAGTGAAGACACTACAAGAAAGAAAGAGATGAGAAATCTTAAACTGACAAGTCAATCCAAGATTGGAGGAACCTGTTTTAAATTTACTGTACCTTAGATCCCAATCACGTAATATATCCCAAAAGAAGGAGAAGAAAGTGTTAGCTAGACCAGAGAGGATCCATGCCGGCTGAATGGAGTAAGTCCATGTATCCGGATCGATAAAATACTTGAGGGCTGAAAGAAAGATGACAGGCACCGCCGTTAAATATTTTCCAGCTGAAAATGAAAGAAAGAGAGCATGTGGTGAGATATTAGAAGTCTGGCGAAAGCAAAACACAAAAGAACCAGTTTTTATTACAACCGGAAAGGTCTGAGATTTCAGATCATTACCATTGTAGATGTTTGCAATGTCCTTGCTATCTTTGTACTGACGAATGCACTGAAACAGCCGGAAAAGATAAGGTAGAACGAGAACCAAGGGAATTGCAGCCGAATGACTCCCGCAAACCGAATCAGCTTCAAACCACGCAATAGTAGCAACCTACAATGAATCCATCAGATTCCCTGAATATTGAATGGACAATACATTCATACGGAAATGGGAATTACTCACCTGTCGATGGACCATCCGACATACTGACCGTTCTAAATCCGATAAAACCTGCACAAGAAATTTGTTGTTCTTCTAATAATTCCATTCAGTGTACATACAAACAGAGGAAAGATAAACAATTGTGTTACCTTTGACAGAGAAGTCAAGATATCAGCTAGAAAGAAGTCCGAAAAAGTCACTGCCTGTTTGTGATACACCATTACACCAAATGAAAGTTAGATGATGTAAAGCCAGTCTTCAACAGAAACAACAGTGCTATTTTACCTGCACTGGGAAGAGTATCCGCCAAAAAGTCCAAAGCAAATAGTAGCGAGATGACATGTAGAAGATATCGAAAGGGATTATCAAAATGATCACAGCTGACAAATACAAAACTACCTGAAAACATCCAAAAAGGTTGCTCCATGAACAAATAAATCAAAATCTTTTTAAAACAACTTTAAGAGAAGATGCATCTATTACACTGGTTGAGATGCAGCCAACTTTACGTCTCCATGCGAGTACAGATACAGATATGCAGTCATGCTAGTCAATATAGCTATTGTCATCCACCTGGCACACTGTGACACAGGTTTCATAAATGTAATCAGATGAAAAGAAAATGTACAAATGATATAACTAAGAATTGTATTATACCTTCCATATCTCTCTGTGACTAAGATGATCTGCTCCTAGATAAAAGATTGCTGCATAATCAACTCCAGACCGAGAAAAGACCCACAGATTAACACCCCAGAGCCAGACCATCAGTGTCTGTACACAATAGCATTCATCAGGAAACACACATAAAAATTTGACTTACTATTAATTAGAGAGGAAATCTAACTCACAATGAGAAGGAGAGGGTTATAATACAGAAATGTCTCATAGAAAAACAGTTCTCGTGATTCTATTCCCATTTTCATTACAGATTCCCATCCAACCTGCAAGTTTTTAACATTATTGTATATCGCTAAGACTGAAAACTCAAACGATGGCTACAAATCAAAAGCTAAGATGATTGTTTGCAAGAATAAGAGTACAAAATCCAACCTTTCCACAAACATAAAGACCACCAATATACAGAGCAACCTGGAGAATCAAGATTGTAAACATCAAATCAGATGGTTAGATGTAACAGAAAAAGGAGACAAGTTTTGAAGATATGATACAATCAGCAAGAATCTATGAAACCAAGAGAGGGAGCTCCTTCCATGTATCATTAAACATGCTACAAAATCAAACTCTAAAGAAAATCTAGGAACACTGAGTAAAATGAACAATACTTTGAGACTTTGAAGGAATATAGGAGTTCGCAATTTTGCAAATGTACGTAGAAACATACTTGCAATCTTCAAGTCATTATCTCCTGTCGAATTCAGCAAACCATCCAAAAAAAAAACAAGGTAATCAAAATCACTAAGTAGAACTGATTTTTCTGGTGGCCAAGGATAAAACCAAAACAGAGAAACAGCTAACCTAGATTAGTGACGATGTGTCTACTAGCAGATTTGCGCGAGTGAGGATTATTCACAGGCACAGACAAGACACCCCCAAACATAGATGCCAAAGACAAAACCTTTCTCTCTCTCTCGTTTTGTTCTGAAACCAATCGCAACACAAATGAACATAGCTTAAACCTCACTCTTACAAAAATCAACTAAACTTCTGTATAATAAAACCATGAAACGATGAAAGTGAAAGACTTTCCAACGAAGAAGACAAATTGTACCTTTTTTTCTCCGATTGCTTACTCTTGAAGAACGCGTCACACTGCTCTCAACGTAAGAAGACAACTTCAAAAGCAATACAGGAAACTCTACACAGATTGCTTCCTGCTCTGAACTGAAGGAGGCGTCACACTGCTCAACATGAACAACCGCATCGAGATAACGTTAATCCCAATCGGTTTTGCTGAAGAGAAAAAATCTAGCAAACCCATCAAAGATTTATTCTGAATCACAAAAAAGAAAAGAAAAAAAGTCGATGGCTTTATTAAATTAAAGTGGCCGAGAGACTAAAATCGGAGCTATGAGAAATTAAAAACCCTTTATTTTGTATTTTAGCGGAATATCTAATGTGTAAAGTAATAATAAAGGGAGCTCTTTTAATTTCTCCCCGAAACGTCAAAAATGTAAACTGCATTGCATTGAGTTCCTATGAATAATTCACGAGACAGCAAATCAAATAAGGTTGTAAGAATTAAGGAAGAAGACTTCGAAGGCAAACCCAGAAAAGGAACAATCGATAAAAGTCCACCTTTTTCTCTTATTGGATACCTCTATGCTCTCTCTCTCTCCCTCGACAGAGAACTATTTTAAGATGCAAAGGGGTCGGAGAAAAGGAAACGTTGTTTTAAAAGCATACGAAAAAGAAAAGAAACAAAACAAAATTGTTTTGTTTTTTTTGGTCAACGGCTTATGCAAGTTATTGACTTTGGCAACTCTTTTACGTTTATCTCAAAGACAATATCTCCTAATTATAGTATTAGATTTCATTTATATAAAACTATAGTACTACTTAAAAAAATTATCCAGAAATGGAAGAATATGGCTACAGTCTGTAGCCCCTATATAAAAATTATATGAAAATATTTGACATAATAATACTTGACAATGCTGTTACTTAAATATAAAAAGACACAAGCTTTGATAATAACTTGTTGTACTTCGAGGTTATTAGTCGAAGTCGTTGATTTTTATAATAAGAAAAAGATGTATTTTTTCTTTCTTTTTGAAACAAGTCCCATTTGAAAACTGTCTACGTGGAGAAAAAAAAAGACAAGTCAATGCAAACACCATGACGTTAAAATAAAAAAAGTCAATGCCAACACCATTTTGTTTTGGTCGACAGATTATATAATGCAGATTACGCTACGCTGTCGTATATAATATATTTTTTGTTGTTGTTGCTACGGTACTAAATGACTCGATTGAAATGGTCTTATCATATTGGATTGCGATTAAAAGAAGTCAAGTCCATTATGAATGAAGCCAAGCCTAATATGGACGTGTCTCTCCAAAGCCCAAATACAGGAATGTAATAAGCTGGCATGTCTCTCACTCTCAGGAGACGCATGAAGACAGACAATGGAATAAGGCCATTGGCATTAATGGCATACCAAACCGGCAGGAGCAAGAGCAGCCTGAAACATAGTAACAACCAGTCCTAGGTTGGTCGGTCCAATCCAAACATGATCTTGTGTAGACTTGTAGTGCCCTCAGCAAGAACAAGTTTTGTTTCCAGTCTACTGTCTACTAATGTTTGAGTAATTATTTCTCAAAATTAACCATAATGCTAGCCTAATTATGTTATCAAATAATCCATTTAAATGTTCTTGTCATGCCTGTTTAAAAGATGTACCACTATATATTTAGGATTACACGACAATTTTTGTAATTTTATTTTGTTTAAACCACTGGATTGTCAGATTGTGAACCAAAAAAACAAAATGTTTCCAAATTTTCGATTAGCAAGATGGAGGCAAAAACTAATTAATTAACCTTCCCCCTCCGCCGCCGCCTCCGCCATAACTTGTCGCCGCCAACACATCCGTCACCGCGAATTACCCTAAACGTAGTGTCCATACTACCTCTACTCGTTTGGGTACTCTGCTTTTAGTTTTAGCCTTGAGTGGTCTTTCCCCGTAGTTATTGTAAGCAATGGAAGTAAGTATTGATTCTCAGGTCTGATACTTATTTCACTTCAATTTGTTTTGGTTAATTGATACAAGCAGTCCAAGTAAGTTTCAATTGGGGAGTAGAAGAATCAAAGAAGAAACGAAGCAGAGTCCATTGTTCAGAAAATTTGGAGAAACAATGGCGAATAGCAAGTACGAGTACGTCAAGTCATTCGAAGCCGAAGACGAAGTTATGTTTCCTAATCTGATAGTCATCCGCATTGATGGCTGTGACTTTTCCAGGTAAAATAAATCTCACATTCAACAGTGATGGTCTGGTACATTGTGAACGAGGGTGGTATAGAATCTGATAGGTTGAATTTATTACAAGTAGATTGTGTTTTCAGATGGTTCTTGGAGATTGATAAGGATGGTGTTCTCATGAATCTACCTATGCATATGTGTGTTTATAGATTTTCCCAAGTTCACAAGTTTGAGAAGCCTAATGATGAAACGGCTTTAAATTTGATGAATTCATGTGCATCTGCGGTTTTGGAAGAGTTTCCCGATATTGTCTTTGCATATGGATATAGCGATGAGTACAGGTACCATTCTCACTTGGATTAGTTTACTTTTTCTTAGTTTTTGATATGTTTCCCTTTGACAGGTTTTTTCTTGTTTTCATGTATCCTGTAGCTTTGTATTCAAGAAAACATCAAGATTTTACCAGAGACGAGCATGGTACTGGTCTGCATTTATACGATATGGGAGATAAGTCGAGTTGTATTTAGTTTTCTTCTGTATGATTTGACATTTACTATAACTTTTTTAATTTTATTTTGTTCATATGCAGTAAGATTTTGTCTTTGGTAGCCTCATTTTTTGCTGCGGTCTATGTAACAAAATGGGAAGAGTTCTTTCCTCAGAGAAAATTAGAATATGCTCCTTCCTTTGCTTCAAAAGTTGTGAGTTGTGCATCAGTAGAGGTTCTTCAAGTTTACCTTGCGTGGAGACAACATGACTGTATGACCTTCTAACATCTATGTTCTATAAAATTTAATTTATTAAATTCTTGATATATGTTCTGGATATTATTAATTGTTGGCTTTTGCATCTAGATCTTCTTACAACTTCCATTGATTTGGTTGCAGGCCACATCAGTAATCAGTATGACACATGTTTTTGGATGTTAGTAAAAAGTGGAAAGACATTAAGGGAAACACATGAGATTTTGAAGGTGTGTTCACTTCACTGTTGTCTATGCTATTTTTCTGTGACGAGCTACACTTTTTTTTGCCATGGAATGTATTGAGCATTATGATTAGACTTTTTGATATAGATTATGGCCCTTTACCTTTACCTGGTTTCATACCTTGTAATCATATATTATTGTGTGATCATACTACTTCCTGTTGATATCTGCAGGATACTCAGAAGCAACAGAGAAATGAGCTTCTTTTCCAGCAATTTGGTATTAATTATAGAATGCTTCCTGTATTGTTTCGTCAAGGATCATGCCTTTTTAAGACAAAGGTGATCTTTTCAATTATTTCTAGCCTTCATATGCTTGCTTTGAGATGTGTTGCATACGTATGTAGAAATTTAAAGCTTCAACTGGTAAGTTGAATCTTTATGAAGATCAGCAAGTTCGTTTTGTTTAGTGATTTAATTGGTGTCAGTTGTATGCTTTTGCATTGTGAATTTCAGTTGCTTAAAATCTTGTAAATTTATATTGTCTTGTGTGGCTGCATCTTGCATGTTCAATACCAAATCAATTTACAGTAGCTAGTTAAATATTAAAGTCAAATGTTCTCTTGTCTCTATATTGGTCAGTTCAATGTATATTTCGTTATGTGTGATACGTTGGCTGAATTTCGTCAGGTAGAAGAAACTGTAAAGCATGATGAGAATGGAAATCCTGTAAAACGATTGAGGAGAAGGGAAACATTAGTGCATTCAGAAAATATTGCCGCAAGAAGCTTCTGGAATGAGCACTCCTCTCTTCATAAGGATCTTGGAAATTTTGCTAAAGACATTGGCAAAATTGAACCGGACTACGTTAAGTCGTTTCAGTTTGAGAATAGATTATTACCATTAACTTGGGTTGTGGTTAGGATTGATGGCTGCCATTTTCACAGGTAATATGCTTTTTAGTCTCTATCTATATTCATTGTTAGACAATGTGTCTTGCATAAAAGCCTTAGACTTGTAAAAATTTATGTTCGCTAGGATTTATTTCAGTTATAGCCTATGATGCTATATTACAAGTTTATACACTTCTGACTGCTATGGTCGGCATGTTCCTTACGTTACATTTGCTTTTGTGTTAGGCTGTAAATTGTGATTTATTTAGGCAATGCTAGTATCACTTACAGAGAAGTAGAATTGTGGAACTTATACAGTAGTTAACCTCTTTGGCAAATAAACACATGTATTTTGCTTGAATGATTGCTATTGTTCTGTGTAAGTGATCTGATCGAGCTTGCTTGGATTTTGATAGATTTTCTGAAGTTCATGAATTTGAGAAGCCAAATGATGAGCAAGCTCTGAAACTTATGAATTCATGTGCAGTGGCTGTTCTTGAGAAGTTTCAAGATATTGCCTTTGCCTATGGTGTTAGTGATGAGTACAGGTATGTAACTCTCAGCCCCTTTAAATCAAATTTACATTTCTTGATATTAATCGAGTTCATCTTTGGTTTGCAGCTTTGTTCTGAAGAATGAATCTGAGCTTTACAAAAGACAGCCCAGGTCAAACTGATTTTCTAATGCCCTTAAGTTTCTATGTTTCAGAATAAATTAATCTGTCTGTCCAAGAATTTTCTTGGTTCTTTTCCACTGTTGATCATATAATTCAAATATCTCATTGCAGTAAGATAATATCAGCAATGGTATCCTTCTTCACGTCTACATACGTGATAAGATGGGGAGATTTCTTCCCTCACAAAAAATTGAAGTACCCTCCATCATTTGATGGACGAGCTGTATGCTATCCAACATCAGAGATTCTCCTGGATTATCTAGCTTGGAGACAAGTCGACTGTGAGTATTGTCTGATTAATGATACACTCGTCTGTTCTTGAGAGATAAAACCTTGATAGCAAATAGTATCGTTAGTTTGAGTTGGATGCTCTTGTTCAGCAATTTTGTTTTGTCTTGCAGGCCACATCAATAATCAGTATAATACATGTTTCTGGATGCTTGTTAAGTCTGGAAAAAGCAAAACTCAAGCCCAAGAGTACTTAAAGGTGCTTTGTTATGCCTTTCTCTAGTGGCCAATGCTCGCTCTCTTAGTTCATTGTCTAAAATGGTTTGTCACTTACATTTGGGATTTGGCTCTGTTTAGGGTACACAAACACGAGAAAAAAACGAGTTACTTAGCCAGCAATTCGGAATCGAGTACAACTCATTACCTTTAATCTTCCGCATGGGTTCTTCTGTTTTCCGCCTAAAGGTACTACTTTTATAATCATACTCCAAAATTATTCTAGTGTTTTCCAGCAAAATCTTTAGTGTCTAAAAGAAGGGTCCTCTAAATGAGGAGCCCTGAGAACTTTGCAGCTTATTTCATATGTTAGCTACTTAGCTGATCAAATATTTGCATGTTGTGGAAACTTGTGAAATTTAAAGCATTTCTTTATTTTTTTGGTCAGTTTTGATTATTCTTGTCTATGCAGAGATTTCAAACAAACTGTCTAAATTAGTTTTACATTTAGACGCAGGAACGTGTCACAGAGAAGAAGGGAGAAGTTTCAGGAAAGCAAGTGGAAGAAGAAGAAGTGGTGGTAGACCATTCTAACATTATCGACCATTGTTTCTGGCAGCAACATCCTCACATTCTTACCTCCTAAAACAGGTATCCACTGGGTTGTACCAAAAAGCTAATAAGTCTAAACCTAAACCGAAAGAGATTCAGGTTTTAATGTCTTATTGTCATAAACCAAAGCTGAATTACAAAAAATATTGAACCAGATGGTCTATTTTCTCTATAATTTCCCATTATTTAACTAGTAATCTTATACAACATCATGGTTTAATTCAATTTGGTACAGTTGAATGCTACTAGAAAGATTTTGTTATTACTTTTCCTTTGACTGGTAGGAGAAGAAGAAATATTAGTGCCTTTTTTGGTAAAAAGTAAAATAGTTTGACTGAAAAGATAATGGGTAAATAAAATCTCTCCCAAAAGAATTGACTGATATCTTCAATTAAAGGTAAGTAATATAAAAAAAAATCTCATTCATAAGTACAACAATATTTTAATTTAATTTCAAGAGAAATCCCCCTATTTTTCACTTAATTAGTAATAGAATCCAAGAGATTTTTAACTTCTTTTGTTCCTTTACACCTTTTTTTCAAAAATAAATAAAAATAATTAAATAAAAATAATCTGTGAGCGTTACCTCTATCGACAATACTGCTATTAGCTTAGTTCGTAACGCTTCCTCTCTCTGTCAGTCAAAATCTTCGAATTTACCGATTCAGCCACTCCTCCTTCCTTGATCCCTGTCGTGAAATGGACATGCCGTCGGAGCTTGAGGTTCAATCTGGAGAGGAATCCGTTGACATGGACAGGAACAGGATAGTCGTTGTTGAGAGGGAGGAGGAAGAAGATGGCGACGTCGGTTCAGTGATTACCGACGACGACTCGATCGGTGATAGTAGTGGCGAAGATGATATCTTCGGTGTAGGGAATTATGCTGAGTGTTCGGTCGAGAAGTTGGAGCTGCCCGAGGAATTTGCGAAAAGCGTTATGGTTCTAACGTGCGAGTCCACAGCTGAAGGTGGTTCTTGTGATGTCTACTTGGTTGGTACTGCTCATGTATCACAGGTATCCTCGTTTTCCATCTTGTTTGCTTTCCCTAGACTTTAGAACTCATTACTTCAAGTCTTCAACTAGCCTGGTTTTGTATAAGGTTGAAACGTGTCAGTCCATATCTTTTTCCCTTGATTAGACTATAATATATAAAGCATTTGTTTTTGTAGGAATCATGTCGAGAAGTTGAAGCTGTAATCAGTGCCTTGAAACCACAGGTTCTTCTCCTAACAGTTCATTGAAGACTGAAGCGTTTCTTATATCTTCCATGTTTTTTTTTTATCTAGCTCTTAGTACGTGGCTGATGGTTTTCAGGTCGTCTTCGTGGAATTATGTATAAGTCGTATGTCTCTTCTCGAACCTCAGACTTCGAAGGAGGTTTGCTCTACACAATGTCCAATTCAGTTTACTTATTGTCATCTAATACTATGAGATATTCTGCATCATGTTTCTTTCTTTTGCCAGAAGATGATAATCATTATATGTGTCTCTGTTTTATAAATTAGCAGAGTTAGGTGTCCAATTTCTATTATTAGAGAATGGCCTAAGTTTTTGTCGGAATTTTTATTTTATTTTGTTTGTGCATATCAAACATACTTATCTATGATCCTAGCTCTTCTATCGACTTGTTCCTTAGTCTGAAAAGGTGCGATGTTTTGTTTTCTCCAGGTCCCGACTGTGATGGAAATGATTGGCATGTGGAAGAGGGACCACAACCTATTTGGAATAGTTTACGGATGGCTTCTTGCAAAGGCATGCTTCTTTGGTTAAGAGTTTCTTTGATTTTGTAGCTTAAAATTTCCATAACAATAATTTACATTGCATTTTTTATGTTTAGATCGCCAAAAAGCTTGAGGTTGTTCCTGGTGCTGAGTTTCGTGTGGCATGTGAAGCGGCAGAAAAATATGGTGGGAAGGTGTTTTTTGGCGATCGTCCCGTTCAGGTGACTTTGGTGTTCATAGAAATGTTATGGAATTCATCTGTGGCAATATGTTTGATATATTATATCTATTTTTAAAATTTGTGTTCCAATGAGTATATTCAGTTTCTTTTGTATTGGTTGAAGCAGGTCACGTTAATGAGAACATGGGGTAAGATGCCGTTATGGCACAAGATAAAACTTGTGTACAGCATAGTGTCTCAAGCTGTCTTTCTTCCTAAATCTGAGGAACTTGAGAAGACGGTAAAAGAAAAAGTTCTTTGCTTTCCTTTGTCTTCCATTTTAAAGTGTAGAATATTTACTGACGATAATATTGTATGGCTTTAGCTGAAAGACATGAACGATGTGGATATGCTGACATCGGCTTTTCAAGATATGAGCAAGAAATTTCCATCACTCATGGAGACACTTGTGCATGAGCGAGACTTGTTAGTATTTTCGTTATGTGTAATATATATATCTGACTTGGGTATCCTGATATACATTTCCCTAATCCTTTTGCAAAAATTGCGTTATGTCTCATTCTCAGGTACATGTCATATTCATTGTTACAAGTTGCAAGTGAGCATCGTAGGGTGGTGGCAGTTGTCGGTAGAGGGCATCTTGAAGGTATCAAGAAGAAATGGAACCAACTTATAACGGTTAGTAACAATATTTTCAGTGTACAGATTTGGTTGGAAAACAAATGCTATAACCAGTGCTAATTGTTCACCATCATTGTAACTAATGGTCTTTTGCAGATAGAGGAGCTGATGGGGTCACCGATAAATGATTCAACTTATACTATGAAGAATGTTCTGAGATACCTGGTGGTCGTAGTCGCCGGGGTAGCCATAATCGCCGGCATATATCTTACTAAGTAAACAATCTCAAGGTAGAGTGGGTTTCTCATGAGGAGAATAAAAACGTAGGCGATATAACAGATGATGACATATATTTCAAATAACTGTTATAAACTTATGCTGTCATGTCATGATTTATTTTTATTTATTTATGGTTTAAGGACGAACAATCAAATCTCACATTTGAGTTATACAGTACATTATCAATCATTTCTTTCCCTTCTCATGTCTCTCAATTCAACTACTAATTTTTTTTTGTGTTTAAACCCCTAATTCTTATACTGAAATCATACTTGTCCCATGTCTCATACTCAAATCATATGTTTTGAAATGTAGTTTCCATTATATTCCTTATTGTAATTCCACTAAATTACCCAATCGAATATTTCATGCCAAAAGTCTGTTACTATCACGAATAGGACCATATGTTATAACAGACGCAAACACACACACACAAGACCCAACTAAACATTCAGAAATTGTCATGAATATCTTATGCATTTCAACAACTTGCATTCTCCACTCTATACATATATATGTATTATTATTAGTTTTTTTTCCTTCTTTTTTTTTGTGTGTATATAATATACATTTCGCATTGTGGAATCATAGTTCTTTCTTTTCCCATAAATATACAAAAAACACATTTATTTGAATCTGAAAATATGATAGTGACGATTGTTTCATACAGCCAAGAATTCACCATGGAAATCTGCGAACAAGAATCTGTGTTGGAGATCAAGAAACGCTTAGGACAGTTTCTTCAGATCCCAACATCTTCTTTAACTCTCTTTGTCTCTTGTTGGGAACTCCTCGACGGTCTCGACATCGAAGATTATCCAATCATCTCTGACGGCACCAGAATCGACCTCACCCTAAGTCCCTTTTTCACGGCACCTTCTTTTACTATCCCCGCCGCTAAAAAAATTCACGTCACAATCAAGTTCCCGTCGAAAATGTTCACCGTCGAAGTAGACAGAACCGAAACGGTAACCGCAACGTCCCATCTTATGACAGGTTTTGGGATTTCTTGATTAACAAGATACAAATGTTTTTGCAGGTGAGTAGCTTGAAGGACAAGATTCACATTGTGGAGAACACACCGATAAAGCGAATGCAGTTATACTACTCCGGGATTGAGCTAGCCGACGATTTTAGAAACCTGATCGAGTACGGAATCAGTGAATTCTCAGAGATTGTGGTGTTCCTTAAGTCAATCAACCGTTCGAAAGACGTTGCTCCGGTAAGGAAACTGTGTTTCTTGGTGCAGACGTCATCGAGTTTATTCAACGGTGCGAGGAACCCTGTCGAGATTAACGAAACTTGTACTATCTCGGAGATGAGAGAAGGGTTACAAGCTAACAAGACGTTGCCAAGAGACGAGTATATATTCGTACACAAGCAACGTATTATGCGAGAGAACTGTAGCCTTCGTTGGCATGGTGTTGAAAATGGCGACACTCTTTTTGTGTTTAAAGGGTCTATTAGTCGTGGAGGGTTCTGACATTTATAAAATTTATGATTCGTATTTTGAATAAGTACCTTTCAAGAACTCACACACATATATATATATATATATGTACTACATTATTTAGGGCTATTATTGGATCATTCACTTTTAAACACTGATGGAATATAATTAACTGTTAACGGTATGGTTCAATGGAGTTAAGTATACAAGAACATGTAGTCTAGAAGCTGATGCTTGTGATTTGTACTAGTATTTTCGATGTATCACAACTATAGGATTTAAACTTACATAATGTGTTAATCTTATTGTATTTTGAATACAATTGTTAATTAATTGATAATATGTCTAACTGATCAATACGGTAGAACTTAAATTTTTTTAAGATGTTACCGTCCATTTATTGGATCTCCAAAAAAATTGTTGAATATTTAAGGGTTCTGTTTAAAAAATTACCATGTAAAGGTTTTGGTTAAGTATACTCATTCCTGAATGTAGATAGTGTTTTCTTTAAGTTATGTAGATAATATTTGGTCAATTAGTTTACAAAGAATTATAATTATTAATATAATACAAAAGATTGAGAATTAATAGATAGTGCGACTAGCATAATATGTTGACCCTATAACTTTAAGATATGTTACAATCTATTTTTTTGGGTCAAAAGTCATGGGGGTATCTAAACGTTTTATAGTAATTTACCAATGTAATATTATGCAACGTGTAATTATTTTTGTTTTATTTGAGAAAACATTTTTGCTAATGATATAGATAAAAAAATTATATTACTTAACAAAAATATGTTTGTTGTTTGGAAAAATAAAGACTGAAAATTAATTTTAGTGCGACTATCGGAATAGGTAGATCCTACAACTTGAAGATGTTACAATCTATTTGTAGGATCATTAAAAAAGTTGGATATCTCTGTACTAATGCAATGTATAGTAGAATATGTGGATCTTACAATTTTGAGATGTTATAAACGATATCTACATCTTCAAGAAAGTGTTCGGATTTTTAAAATTATATTAAAAACTTTACAAATGTATGTTTAGTAATGGTGTATCGAATGTATTTACTTTAAAAAAAAAAAAATTATAGCAATGTATCGAATGGAATTTTAAAATTTTATTAGTTTTATTTTTTTTGTAAATATCACCACTCTAAAACTTCTACAAACATGTTACCATTCTAAAACACACGAAATAATTATTTTCTATTGATTAAGAAAACCGAGAAGCTTTTGACCAGCCGGTTTCTCCGTTTAGCTGGATTATCTAGTAGGAAATGGTAACTATAATTGAGAATCCGACTCTGTCTCATGGAGAAGCTTTTGCTCTTTCTTTACAGAGAAGATAAAGAAGACGAAACCAAAGAACCAAATCAAACTCAATTTTTTTTTTTTATTAAACTGGTAACCTAAGACAATGTTTGATTGTTTGCTTGTATACCAAGAAAGACAAATAAAACAAAGATAATCACAAAAGCAAAAAAAATCTCATCAATTCGAGTCTTTATTATCTCCTTCTTCACCCTCTATTGCTTCCTCTTTAACACCATCATCATCATTTGCTTTTTCTCCATTAATCATCTCCTTCTCTTCTTCCTCATCATCTTCAACCTTCTCATCTCTACCTTCTTCTTCATTTTTCATCTCCTTGTCATCCTCCACCTCCCCGTTTGGTTTCTCTTCTTCCTTTCCTTTTCCACTCTCTGCGTCCGAAGAAACCTCCTCCTCCATAGGATCTTCATCTTCTTCTTCTCCTTCTCCTTTAGATCTCTCCTCTTCCTCAGAAACCAAATCAGGATGCATAAAGAACAAATACACATGAGACCATTCTCCCACATCTAAATCTCTTAACCTCGTTTCATCTTCATCCTCCATCACCACCCTTCTCTCCTCTTCATCTCCGATCACGAGTATCAAACGCTTCACCGGTAATTTCACCTCCGCGGCGATCTTCTCCTTCAACTCCTTGACCGTCGCATCCTCACTCACGTCCGCATCTATGAACGTTCCTGTTATTATCTCCACACTCACCTTCATAATTTTTTGATCTTATGATTTTGATTGTAAAGACAAAATATATTCATAGCTTCTTCTGTTTTTATTTTGTTTTTGGTTATTATATTTTGGTAATGGCTTTTTTGGTTTCAAGATATTGCTATATGTATGAAAACATGAACCAACCAAATTAAAACACAAAGCATGCAGTTTTCATTGTCAATCTAGTATCGGATAATGCGCTTCATATTTTATGGAAATTAATTTCAGTTTCGTTGCGGATATCTTGCAACTACATTTTTTTCTTGACTGGTGGGAATTATTATTATTCCACAAAGATCTGTCTCCTGAAATAATTAACAAAAAGAAATAAAAATTTAATTAGGGAAATATGTGATGATTAAATTCTTAGTTTTATTATATTTAGGGTTCTATTCTAATTCTAGTCTATATTTCACGGATAATCGATCTGGTTTTGTATGTAATCCTCATCAGAAATATACATCAAAACGAACAGAAATAACATCCTCTTAAAAAATTTATCAAGTAACAACAACCAAAGGATCGTTTCTACATACTCTTAACATTTAGTCGTGATGAGTTTATAATTTGGGCTTATTAATTAGTTCTTCTCCATATATATATATCCTAGAGGTTTCATGTTTAACCCTTGAATATTGCTTTAATCCATCAAATATTTGGTATGTGTAGTTGCGTACCAAGGAAGTTGTGTGTATATACATAGTGGATAAATGATTACTTGAACACATTCTTGAATCCAAGTTTTACAGTAATTCTTTAATTTAGCTTAAAGGCTAGCTATATGGTTTTAATTATATTGTAAATGATTTTTTTTCTTGGAGAAAAATACAGTTATATAACCTAAAAAGAAAAATCAAGTAGTGGGTGTGTATTTTGGATAATCAGACATTCAGACCTATTCTGATTTCTGAATATGGTTTAATTTAGGGTTTGAAAACTATATAACATACAAAGAAATCAAGTAGTTGGTGCGAGTTTTGGATGACCAGACCTATTCAGAATCCTCAAAAACTTCACTGGTTGATCAAACAATATATATAGTAGCATGCAACTCTGTATGTTACAGTTTCATATTCTAATTTATTGTGGTAATCATGGTCTAATGATTGATAATTCGTATTGTAAGGTTGAGTCTGTAACATAACTTAATATATATTAATCATAGTTATCCAATGCGAACAGTTAAAATAGTACATTAAATAATCATCTCCCTCATGCATGTTTTTTTTTTTTTTTTTTTGCCTACCTCACATGTTAAGTCCAACGAAAGAATTGAAAAGCCACTTTTGTATTTTGTATCTTTAAAAGAAAAAATTAAGGAAAAAAACATATTAATTAAAAGCTACTTTTGTATTAATATATTTAAAAAAGGATAAGGAAGTTAAAAACAAAGAACATTTGTATAGCAATGAGTACACGAAACAAACGTACACACTAAACAAATATAACGTCCAAATTTTTTTTCAGAAAAAACGTACACAACTGACAAGTGTACAGGCAAGCATGCTTATTTCATGAAGGTTGCATAAAACCACAAAACTACACAGACTGTCACTTGTGTGTAATTAAAAACAACTGTTAATTAGCAAAAACCAAAAGTTAAATGTTAAGGCCACAAAACTAATCAACTGTTAATACTTTGGTTAGCTGTCTGTGACCAATGTAGAGGCATACAAAAAAGATTAGCTGTCGAGACCATTTTGGTTTGCTTAATTTATAATTTGAGTTGGGATTTAGTTACACTATTGATTAGTGTAAATGAACTACGGCCAAATCTTTTTTTTCTGTAACTGTAAGTATAATTAATATTGTAAATACCTGTGAAATAATGCAATTATTTTGGTTTACATAAAGGGACTACAGTTAAAAGTAAAATAATAATAAGAATAGTTGAAAGTTACATGATAATAGAACCAATTGTGCTAGATTAAAATTGAAAATACATATAAAATGGTATTTGCTTTATTTTTAATCAAATGTAATTTTCTATTTATCATATTCTATTGTTGTATTCCATCAATTCTTATAAATTAGTACAGTATGACTTATAAATTTTCACTTTGTATCACTCGAGGTAACAGATCAACCATGGCTAGCTATATTTCAATGGATCGGATATTTATTTGTTTAATTTCACTTATAGAATAAAAATTCTGTCTTTAGTAATAAATTCTAATAATTATCTTAAGTTTGACTATTATGATTAATTTTCTGGTCAAACTTATTTTAGATGGTAAATAGTTAAAAGGAATTTTTTGACCGACGACTAAAATTTATACCTAAATTTGTGTGTTTTATTTAGTGTCGGTCGTTACTCCCTATCCATATATTGTTGATAAGAAAAATAGTTGACCGATGACTAATTATATTTAAGGATACTTTGGATAATGCATTGACTAGCTATCACAATTACTTAAATATATTTGTATGGATTTTCATCTATTGAAATTTTAAATATCTTTCCCAAAAAATAATCAATCTAGTCAATACTAATAGTATGGATATTTTTAAAAAGAAAAGTGATTTCCGGCTCTCCTCTCTTTAAAAACGATCGAACGAGTCAATAAAAGCTGAAATTTGTCGTTTTTGTAACTGATTCCGTACATCTCACACGGTATGATTGACTTGATCGATTAATATTATGCATCTTCGGACAATCAAAAATCAGTTGATGTCAAATATGTACAATTTATTTGATGTAAAACTACAATATCAAAAAAGTTAAATCATTTTTATCGTTCACTACGAATTTTAAATCTTAATAGTTGAATTCTTTTACATTTTTTTCACCTAGGTTCATACCATATAAGCAAAATATGTTATTCATAAATAATTGTTTCTCGAGAGTGAAAAATTCAAAGAGGACTCAAATTGAAAATACCAAAAAGGTTAAAACAATATTACAAATCACATTGAGACTACAACTAATTATATTTTTTATCTTTCTAATGATCAGTAAAAAACAAATATTTAGCTATTTAATATGTTTTGTATAATATGTAATAAAAACATAACCGGATATGGGAACCCAATCAGTTTGTGACACATGTAGAGAAAGATAGAAGCATCTTTTGTCTTCTTTTCTTTTGTTCCTCTTTAACGTTATCTTTTGCCTTCTCTCTATTCTTTGAGCGTGTAGGGTTAAGCAAGTGTCTCCCCCTCTCCACCTATAAATATGTGTCTCTGCAACCCATTAAATTCACTTTCACTCTCATCACCACCACTCACTCCCCTCAAAACCGCTTTCTAAAACCATTAGTTGATTTCCGACCAAGCTCTCTATTGCTTAGCTATCCATCCAAAACCAAAAATAGTTAACGTTACTCCCAATTTTCACATCATTTTACAGCAAAGTAATATAGCTATCCACTCATCCTAGATTTCATCTTTGTGGGCAAATTAATTATCGAATTTATATAATCGTCCGTAACGCCGTTGTTGTATCTATCAGTCATACACATCAAAGGATGAAATGATCCTTACATGTCTTGATTTTGAAGACAGTATTTTGTCTATAGATTTGTAACCTTTTTTTTTTCCCTTTCCGTTTGTAGAAAAAGGGTGAGACGAAGATGGAGAGACAGATCAAGCTAACAAAGAAACAATAAGCTTTGAAAGATTTGATTTTTCTGAGTTAATTTAGACAGCCAAAAACTTTTAAAGGTACCGGATGGATTCTCTAGTTATCCTTTTCATTTTGTGTTTTATACGTCCTTAATTATATATGTGTCGACCAATTAAATACAACAACGATAACAAAATAATGGGAAAAAATTTAATACATCACATAAAATTTGTTCTTTGCTGCTGGTCGGTATATACATATACATATGATATCATTCCTTTACGAATAGAGACTTATGTACATCTATCTGTTAATTTTCTATAAACCCAAATATAATTGAATCATATTCTTTGGTCAAATACTATTGTCATTTGATTAGATTTGTGCAAATATATCCAACAATTCAGTCCTTGTTCTATAGTGTAGATCTCTGTAAATCGTGAAACCCTAGAATTAAATAAAAAAAACAATGACTGAAAAAACTCAACCTTTTAAATTTTTTTTTTTTTTTTTTGCCTCGATCCATATTGTGTGACTAGCTCTCAAACTTTTTTGATCTGCTAGCTGTTTGTGTTAATTATTTGTTAATCTGCTGACTGTGTGATGTGTGAATTGTGATTTCTCTCTTTTTTTTTTTTGAGTCTTTGATTTCTACTGGTCGGTCTTCTGATTCCAACAATCACCATCAGTTACTTTTTTTCTAATTTTTTTTTTTT